CTACCTCGCAGGATTGTTGTGAGGATAAGACTGAGAGGAGAATTATCCAAGCCAGAGTTCCTTGGAAGGAAACATGGCAGGATCAAGATCTCTTCTTGCTGATGCCAGAATGTAGGACATGGAATAATCAGTTCAAACCAGATCCCGGCTGAACATCAGGAAAAGCTTCCTCACTGTCAGAGCAATACGAGAGTGGTACATCTGTCTAGAGAGGTAGTGGGCTCTCCCTCACTAGAGGCATTCAAAAAGAAACTGGACAGCCCTCTGAGTGGGATGGTGCCAATTGCAGGGGGTTGGACCCAATGGCCTTCATGGCCCCTTCCAACTCTACTATTCTATGATTCTATGAGGATATAAATATAACAAACAAACAAACAGAATAAACCTGAGTGGTTGCTTGGGGCAATTAATAAATGTCCAAAGTGCCAGCAAAGCCTATGCAATCTAAGTGCTGTATCCCAGGATCCCTTGTAACATCACCTAGGGTGATGGGACACAATCTAAGACCACCAGATAAGCCTGTCAGTTGGTACCTCCCAGATGTGTTGGGCTGCAACGGCGTGGGGGACGCCGAACACCAAGCTGGTGATGCCTGTCACAAGCCCTTTGAAAAGCAGTGGTTACATAATGGAAAGCAGCAAGTTTCCCTGCCGTCTGTCCTCGTTCCCCTTCTGCAACACTGATTTTGTGCCAAGCGACAGCTTGTATTCCAACGCCCAGCACATCTGGTGTGGCAGGACGAGGCTTAATTAAGATCAGGCAGCGTGTGGCGCAGGACGCGGGGTTGCCAGCCCCTGCTGGTGTGGATCAACTTGCCCAGCCAGCAGAGTAAATTTGTGGTGGCTCAGATTCTCACACACAGGAAGACACACTCCTTCACCATAATGGCATATTTGCTCTTGTGGCTGTTAATAGAAGCAGGCTGGGAGAACTACTCACAGCTGAGGTACATTTACACACCCTTCACTTAAAAGTTTGGCAGTTACACATGGCAAGTGATGCAACCACATCAAATTGTTTTTAATTACTGGGAAATTAAAATGAACCATTCATGTGAGAAATTAAGTAAGTAATTTGAAACTAATTAAATAATTATGATTCTCTCGATTTACTGGCCTCAGAGTATTTTTTACTTTAGAAACAAGTCTAGTTTTAAGCTGCATCAAGAAATAATTCAATCATTATACCAATTACTTAAGAGCTTTTATTAAAAGATACTTTTGACACAACCACCTTTGTGAACTTGTCAAGAAGAGTATTTTCTAAAGGGCATTGAAGAACCCCCAGACTGGGGCCCTGATCTAAGCCACTGGGCTCCCAGAACTGGCTTGGAGTCTCCTAGGGTCCCTCCAGGGGGCAAGGCCTGGTCTGAAAGGTCCATTTCCTGGAGGAATCCACCTTGGAGGAAGTTGCCATTGTCATCCCAGACATCAGATTCTCTTGTATGCCAGTCTCCCATCTCTTGCTAATCTCTCTTGTTAATCTCCCATTGGTGGGAACTTAGCTGGTCCTGGGAAGAGCAGGGTTTCCAACATGGGACCCATGAAGTCCTCCAGTAGCAACTGCAAAGCTCTCCATCTCTGCCCTCTTCAAAATATATTTTTTTTAATTTCAAAAACTTGAAAGAACATAAAGGAGGCAGGTTCTCGTTTCTGTTTGAGGCCGAACCAATGATCAAGTGTCCAGCAGGCAAGGAGGAGTCAGTTCCTGGCCCACTCAATCTTCTTCCACCTCTGCACACCTTTTCCCTTTGCACGCTCTCTCTCTCTCCCCTCTCCCAGTCTCTAGTCTTGGTATGTGGTTCCCTTCCCAATCCCTAGCCTTTGGCCTGCCTTGCTTTCTTTCCCACTCACCCCTTTAACTTGCAGTTTCTCTCCATTTCCAGGCTCTGGCGTCACAATTTCTCTCTTTACTGCACTGTTTCTCTCCATTCCCAGCTTGTTCCTTTTCTCCCCTCTGCCCACTTGCCATGCTATTTCTTCCTCCCTGATTTCTAGCCTGTTCTCCCCCCTTCCACCTCTCCCCACACAAACACAAGTACACAAATCTCCACAGCAGCTGTTATATAACTAGCCAAATCAGCTCCTAAATTAGCTTCTCAAATGTGTCGAATGTTGGGGAGCTTTGAATGACAGGGACACCACATGTGCCGACACTGCGGATAGGCTTAGCACCAGATACTTTGTGAATTGTGGCAAGGAAGTATTGGTGATAGCGATGAGAGGATTGCTGACTGAAAGCTGTGACATGAAATCTCTTTTGCCGATACCCTCCTCTGCTTCCTCCCCCTGCTCCTCTTTTGTCTGGAGAGTGAGGGTGCCTTGAAGTAGCTGCACGATACAAGCAGAGTCTGTGTAGGAACTCTCACTGGAGGCATCTAGCTCTGTGAGGGTGTCGTCAAAGGCCTGCTTGGGGACATTCTGGATTTCACAGAACACTCTGAAGCCCCATGGCAGTACCAGCTTGACTAAGTGGGTGGGCTGTACGCCCTCTGCTGATTCAAAGGCTTTGCAAGAAGCTAATGCTTCCATAACAATGTTCTTCTCATCTACAGCTACTTCTGCCAGCCAGCAGTACTCATCACCTTTCCTTTGCAGATAAAAGACCTCACAGTAATTTCACTGTAGTTATTAAACATCTTGCAAGAGCTTTTTACCTCAAGCATGAGAGGGTGCATGTTTCTCATGCAAGTGTCCATTCAAGGTCTGGCAATGGCTGAGACACCTACAGCTGTTTATTGTAATGACCACCCAGAGAGTGTGATGCTAACAGGCAGCCCTTTAAACAAATTTAATAAATAAACCATTGGTGCATGTATGAGAGAGCTCAAACCTTTCCCGTAAACCTCCAACATCCCATGTCAGTTTACAGCCAGATAAGAATATGTGGGTGTGCAAATTTCATGTGTTTTTATTGGTATTTTGTCCTGCCTAAGCAATGCTAGGGTCTTGTAATTTCAGCACAGGTCATAAAAACTGTCTGTCTGGAATGCTCCATGTTTAGCAATAGCTTTTGGTTGAATGGAAGATGAAAACTTTGGTTTGGTTTCGCCACTGAGATGAATGAGGAGTTCAGCCCATGCTAGCACATTTGTCATGCAGCTCTCCTGTAGCATGTGATAAAAGACACTCAAAAATCACATAAAAGGGGTGCCAAAAAGTGGGCTGATGTGTAATGCAACAAATCTGTGTTCAGAACTGATTCCTTTTGGTTTCCCCATGTAGGCTTCTATTTTTTTCTACAGTCTAATTTTATCTCCAGCAGAGCAGTAGATAAATTTTGGAAGAGCACAGAGAAACTAGTTTCTTTTCTTACTCTATGCATAAAACAATATGGGTGTGACTACACTAAAAGGTAATTAAATCCTAAAATGGTCCATACTGTGAGAACTGCCTTTTGAACAAAGAGGAACATCTGTTGGAGATAAACTGAGGAGGGGGGAGTTTTGTCAGTCTCATGTAGTTTTTATGAAAGTGCCCAAGTCTGGAAGTTTTTTTGTATTGTTTACGACTCTTCACCACCCCATGGACAACATTCCTCCAGGCTTTCCTGTCCTCCACTGAAGCTCACGCCGACTGCTTCAGTGACTCCATCTAGCCACCTCATCCTCTGCTGTCCCCTTCCCGCTTTGCCGTCAATCATTCCCAGCATCAGGGTCTTCTCCAGTGAGTTGTAGGTTGCCAAAGTATTTGAGTTTCATCTTCAGTATCTAAACTTCTAAAGAACAGTCAGGGTTGATTTCCTTTAAGATTGACATTTGTTTGTTTGTTTTTTGTTTTTGTTTTTGCAGGCCAAGGGACTCTCAGGAGTCTCCTCCAGCACAATTCAAAGGTCTCAATTCTTCGGCGCTCAGCCTGCCTTATGATCCAGCTTTCACAGCCATACATTGCAACAGGGAAAACCATAGGTTTGACTATACACACTTTTGTCAGCAGGGTGATGTCTCTGCTTGTTAGTATGCTGTCTAGATTTGACATAGCTTTCCTCCCAAGGAGCAAGCGTCTTTTAATTTCTTGGCTGCAGTCACTGTCTGCAATGATCTTGGATCCCAAGAAAATAAAATCTGTCACTAGCTCCATTTCTTTCCCATCTATTTGCCAGGAAGTGATACAACTGGAAGGGGAAAAGGCAAATATCAACATGAACCCTGTTTCTGACAAGGTGCTCAGTTGTTTCTTGCCTCTCATGGCTCATTAAGGATAGCCAAAGGGGTATGTTTGGGCCAGCTTAGGCTCTAATGAATGTTTTTTTTTAAATGTATCTGCAACCCTTAAGGGGATGATGTAGCCACTCCTACAGAAATGCACTCTGGTTTTCAGCACATACCAATCTAATTACAAATAATCCTATTCTGGAGAAGGTTCTACAGGAAGTTGTAGCGATACAGCCACAGGTGCTTTTGGGTTCAGAACACGTGTAGATGCAACACCTTTTCTTTTTAGTGGATATTGAGGTCCCTGCTGTTTATGCTTTATAGTATACCCTGCTATCTTATGCAGATGTGGCAGATTCAGTGCCAAGGGTAGGCAACATGCAATACCCATTGCCATCCAAAACTGTAAGACCAAAGTAAGTTTTTAAAAAACAGATGGCATCTAGAGAGGCTATTTTGAAGCTTTTTTATCCTTTTATGCCATGTAGCTACTGTGGTGTACCAAAAGGGTCAACATTTTTATGTTTCTGGGAATTGTGTATGACACTCTGGAATCTTTAGATCAGAGGTCTCAAACTCAACTTACCTGGGGGCCGCTGGAAGTAGAGTCTGGGTGAGGCTGGGCCGCATCAAGTATTCCAGCACCACGGTGGTGGTGGGCCGCTCATCCCGTGGCCGGCCCAGGCTCCGCCAGCGCTTTGAAGGTCGCAGGGCCCCTCCCCCGTGCCCCACCCATCCCAGCAATTGGCCTGCAGGCTGCGAGTTTGAGACCCCTGCTTTAGATATAAATGGTTTATAAGTATGCATAAATAAATAACTACATGGATTCACAGTGGAATGCAATCGGTTAGACATCAGTAAATGTATTAATTCGTTTATCTTATCATAGGACTCATATACAAACTAACTCAGAATCCATTCCATTAGCAGTACAGCTAGGAAAAATAAAAGAACACTACAGGAATTGACTTCACAATGACTTTGTACTTTTTATATACATACAGTACATCTGAAAAATGCCACTTTTACACTGCTATAAAAATACCAGCTCTGTAAGTAAGTTCCTTCAATTGGCAATGCTACTTTAAAGTTTACAGAAACACCATCAAGGTTCTTCCAAAGAAAAGTAATTGCTCTTTTCTGAGGCAGACACACACACACACACACACACACACACAGAGAGAGAGAGAGAGAGAGAGAGAGAGAGAGAGAGAGAGAGAGAGAGAGAGAGAAATTGAAGGTGCTTCTGGACAAGGTTTTTATCCCACGATCACCTGATATAACCATCTTCCTGATATAACCATCCTGTGCTTTCCCATCACTTATTCTGTCTTTGTTCTTATTGCCAAAAGCCCAAACAAGGAGAAAAGAAAGATGATCTCGGTGTGCAGGGTCTTCTAGCTGTAAGCGCTGGGCCCTCTGCCTGGTGGCAACTGAAAACCAAGCTGTTTGAGCACTCCGAGGTTTTGAGAAGTTTTTAGTGCTGTGATCGGAGCCATTTCAGTTACAGTCCTGCAGATACTGAATGCAGCGGGAGAGAGGCAAGAAGTAGAGCCCAGAGAAAAGTGTCCAGTGGGTGCACAAAGTCAAGATTGTGGGACACCCTTGCCTGGATATTAATACCAGAGCAAACCTAGGTACACTTTGAGGGAAAGGATGCTGCAGCAGTCCAGAGGCATTATGGTGACAGTACTGGTTTCTACTGGAGCTGCATTAGCTGCTGTGCACTTTGTTCTCTACACACTGAGGTATCCAGTGGCCCTGCCTCCCATGCGGTGCTACATCAGTCCCATTCTGCACACTTGGGTTCCACCTTGCAGGACCCACCAGCGATGCAGTCCTGCTTCCCTCTCCACATGTGCACTTGAATACCTGGAGGGCAATGTGTCACGGTACTTTTACGTTTGGCCTAACGATTTCCCTCCTACCATTGTACAGGGCATGCTTCCAAAGCTTTGACAGTACTCATTACACACAGCTTAAAATGAAACAAGGTGGCATCTGTCCTGTTTCAACCCGTCCTCAGCATGCTAATGAAAATGGGATGGAGCGTGTGCACTGCACACTGCCTTGCACCTCTGCCTCTGTTGTGGTCACCCATCCCTACTGATAAGCTGTGTTGGTGACCCCTAAAATTTCCATGGGCTGAAAACAAGACACTGAAACTGGTCATATGAATTAGTCTTCACAGGTATTTACACGAAATGGAAATAATTGAGGCAGACTAACTGATAATAGGTCACGCCAAGGGCTGATATACATATCTGACTGAGCTATTTTTCCAGTCCCACTCAGACAGCCACCCTCAAAACTCTGTTTATAAAATTTGGTTTACCTGCTGGCCAAGCTGTTTTAAATTTTCCAGCATCTGAACATCACATGGTGATACCCCTACTTTTAAACTGCAGCAGTTTAAAACAGTTGTGAGTAGCAGGATGGGTACATCTGCTTGCAGAGGAAAAATTCCAGTTCTGATCTGGGCCCCACTGGGTAGTTCCAGAAAGACAATGATGAATCGAATCTGAATTTGTAATGGTTCTTTCTGCAGAAACTTCCACTAGCAAGCACAATGCTGCCATCTGCTGGCCTTTTACTGTATGCCAGCCCTACCTACTTGAAAGTATTAAACTTAAGCCAGTGTCTCAAATAAGCTCAGGTGTCAGTTAAATTCTGCTACCCTACCCATCCGTCTGTATTATTCACAAGTCAAGGAATAACAAAAATGGCTTCTTTAGCCAGAGAGGGCGAAGAACCTTTCTGAAACATAACACAAGAGATGAAGGACTGATTGTTAGGAAACACTGGAGTTTATTAAATGCCCTATTTGAAACCAAAATAAAAATATTCCTCTTCCATGAGCTAAAATTTGCCACATTTCCAACCATGAGTAGTTCACAGGAGACACTGGTTTTAGTCTATTATGATATAGAAGAACATTAGTTTTGTTTGTATGCTCCTTCAGTTTTTGTATCTTGACTAACACAGATAAGTCATTTAAGGCACTCACTCCAAAATAATGTTATTCCTAGCCTGAGAATGTTGATATTTTTTTCATTACATTGCAGCAAGTAATTTGGAAACAAATTACCATGCTAATGATAATACTGTTCAAACAGAATTTTTTTTTAAAACAGGGAAAATACATTAATTACACAACCATGTTTTGATTTTAATTTACAATCTATTGTAATCTATTTTTAAATGAACAAACACGAATTAAAGGCTACTTAAATACTGCAAGGATTTAAATAAAGTAATAATATTTTCAGTGAATTGAGAACTACTATGTCTCTGCCAGTATATTGGCCCCATTTGAAACTTTTTTAATTTAAATCTTGTCTATATAATAATAGGTTCCAAAACAGATAGCCCATTTACATAAATAAGTATAGTTCTCTCCTTGTTTTGTTTAAACCTAATCAATTTAAATTATTGGTACACAGGGCTGTGTTTTACTTCCCTCTTCATAATGTCTTATCTTTAAAAAACCCTTCATTGCTAAACTTTCTTGTAAAATATTACTGTATTTCCAGAATACATAGTGGGCCATTAGTAAAAAGTGTTAATTGTAAACCCTGAACTTTACAGTAAAAGTTAAAAGTATATTTTTGTAGAAAGTCTTATGGAATGTACACTCTCTGCAGAGCAGTTTGGTTTATATTGGGCAGAAGAGGAAAATGACTCTGGAAGAAATCCTTTGAGCAAACCAGAGATGTGTGCCATTCACAATTTCAAAGTGCAAGTGGATATATATATATATACACACACATATACATATGTATTTTAAAAAGAGTGTTTGTGAGGCTCTAACTCTTGATCACTGGCCAACGCTGTGCAGGAAATTGGATGAAAATCCAAAACACCATGTCAGGTAGCTGTGCTTCATCTGGAATTTGCTTTGCCCACCCATAACGCAAAGTTCACAACGTCCAGTCAAAGCACAATCAGTTCCTTACACTGCCGTTTCTTTCTGTCGTATCATTCTTGGCATCGGGCAGAAGGGAACTCCTCCATGCAAACTTTCTGAGAACTCCTGCAGCAAGCCCAGAAGCAGTATCCATGCTTGCCAACATGATTCAGTAAGAGGTGAGTGGAAAAGCCATTTCTTAGTGCACTGGTCTGTTCTGTCTAGTAACGCAAGAGCCCATTTGCTTCCTCTCGGGATTCAGCACCATTGGCTTAACAGGATCGGTGTGCAAGGAGCACCACTCTTTGCTGAATGCCTCTGTGATTGCAGGACAACAGCGTTTCATTTTTTTTTATAAATCTCCATCCACAGGTGGTTGACAAAGCTTGTAGATTCTGTAAAGGTTTGGCATAAAAATTAGTATTATGAAGGAACAGTTTTGGCTAGCCCTCCCTTCACTGGTCTGACAATGAATAGTTTAGGGTCATCTCACTTTGCCTCTTAAAACTATGAAAATCCACATGCTCTTTAATCTTTAAAACTCATTGTGATACAAATAATTTCAATTACTAGCTAGTTCAAATGCTTCTTGTAGGCCAGTCCTCTCCAGCCTAGTAACCTCCAGGTGGGTTAGGCTCCCAGTACTCCCATAATTACTCCCATAATTCCCAGTATTCATAACCATTAGCCATGCTGGTTGGGAAGGTTGCAAGTTATACTCCAACACATCTGGAGTGCAAATTTTGGAAGGTTGCTCAAGAATTATCTCTACTTATCCAAAGTCAGTTTAGGTTTCCTTGCATCTCAGCTGTCTTCCAACACCTGACAAGGTTCTGTCAGCCCTGAGACAACCATCACTGATTTATTTTACGCAAAACACAACAACCTCAGAAGGGTGAGTGGGAAGTGACAGATGGCTTAAAGAACAGCTTTTAAGAAAACACCCACACTGAGAGTTGAGTGTAGCATACAGTTGTGCGTGAGTTTGTGCGTGTGCACTGGTGTTTGCAGATGCATGTGCAGATGGCATTCCCAGCTGTACACAATCACCTACCGGGGTGCAGACTGTGGCATCTGATCCATCACTTTCAGATTTTTTGCGGAGATTTCAACCCTTGGTCCCTAAAAAAGCAGATGGCATTGGCAGTATTAGTGAAACACAGAAGCTGCCATGGATAAAACATTGAAAGAGAAATATATGATTTTGATTCTCCAAGTGACTTTGGAAAGCCCTGAAATGACCCCTTAATCTTCTGTGCTTATTCAGGATGCAAGAATTCCCAGAGAACTTTGCAGCTGTTAATGTCCAATCCTGTGAGACTATCCCAAAGTAATGGGAAGTAAATGAGAACCAGGACGGCATGCATGGAGCTACTGCATGGACCACATATTCAAACACCATTCCACCTTTAACCACATACGCTGCAGGTTCAGAATGCTTGCAGTACAGTTCAATTACTTTTGGTCTCCATTAAATTGTTACCAGTGCTGTGTGTATACAAATCTTAGGGCTAGAGCACATCCTGTGTTTCATTCCTCAGTGGGAGTATAAATGAATGCAGCTCCTAACATTACTTACTGAACCCTTAATTAACACTCACCTGTTTTCTCATTATGTCTGTTGCCTGCATGATACACTTGGGCAAGAGTCCGTGACTTCGAGCTAATATAGCTGCTTGCTCCAAAGATACACTGAGGGTACTCCTAAGGACAGAGCATAAAGAATGTTGCATTCAGCAGCCGAATGTGTATTTCTTTATTCCATTATTCCGGCACCTCCCCTCCAGTGTCGATACTCGGGGTGGTTGCATGGGGCTCCTGGGTGGTCTTGCTTCCAATCCCTGGCAGACCAAGCTTAGAGCCACTTAGCTTCAGCACAGTAACTGCCTCATGTGCTGTCAGACCATCCCTTAAATCCTGTCCCATATTGTGAAGGTATATGAACAGATATGCACATAAATTAACTCAGGCTGTACTTATATAGGAGTAAGTCCTACTGAATTCCATAGAGCTTACTTCCCAAAGGATGCATATGTAGACTGCACTGTCAGGCTTCAGTCCTATATTCACTCAAGTTGCAATCCTAAGTAATTTTAGATAGAAAAAAGGCTACGACTCCCAATATTGGACTTTGCCACTCCCAGACTGCATGACTGAATGCTGCTCCATGAAAAATAATTTTTAAAATCCTCTCAACAAGAGATGGGGAGAGGCTGCACCTCAGTGGAAGAGGTCCCAGTTTTGATGTCCAGAATATCCAGGTAGGGGTGGAAAAATTGCTACTGAAACCTTGGAGAGCAACCGTCAGTCAGTGTCAACAACATTGGGATAGCTTGACCTTATATTTAGCAGCTTTCTAGGTTTCAGGTATCAAGAAGAAGGGCTGTTTTTTTTTCTGGCACAGAAAAATATTCTATCTTGGAAGTCCCTGCCTTCAGCAATGCAGCCTAGACACTGGTTTACCATCAGGCTTAGTCATTTCTCTTAAGGATGCAATCCTGGAAAAATTTAGACAGCTGTGCTGGCTGGAGAATGCTGTAGACCATTTTCTTCTGTTTAATTTCCATCAGATTGCTTCTTAAATGCAGCGTAACCCAATGGAACAGAACATTCATTTTGAAAGCACTCACCTTTGCATTCCAGTGCCACACATTACAATCTGGCAGGCTCCAAGGCGATAACAAAGTTCGGAGGATATAGGCAGCAATCCAGCCCCGGCTACGTAACTGCTGGAATATCCGGGCTGGCTGCCTTTTGTGCTGACAAAAGATTTCATTAATCTGCAAAGCTCATCCATTGCATTGATGGGACGAATAAGCTGCAAAAGCATAGAAAGAATGCAAAAGTGGTTTGAATCCTTTCCTGTACCTTAGGTTACCCCCAAAATATTGTACATTTGGAGGAAAACCTATTATTTTCCCCCAAATATCTGTTGGGAACCAAAGAGCTTCATCTATTGGATGGTATAGAAACGTAATACATAATTGCAGCCAGTCTGATCCTTTTTTTCCCCCCGATTTATATCCTGCCTTTTTCCTACAAAGGGCTCAAGGCAGCTTACATCATTCTCCTCCTCCATCTTATCCCCACAACAACACCCCTGTGAGGTGGGTTGGGCTGAGAGTCTGTGACTGGCCCAGAGTCTCCCAGTTGGCTCCACTGCCGAGCGGGAACTTGAACCCGGATCGAGCTTTATGTCAACAAAGTTCATTAAAGCACAACCTGCTTGTGCAGAATGTGGCAGCCCGATCAACAACTGGGATCTTTAGGTCTTGACATAAAGGACCAGTTCTGGCCTGCTTGCACTAGCTGCTTGTTTGCTGCCAAGCCCAGCTCAAGGTCCTGCTTTTAACCTATAAAGCCTTACACAGTGTGGGACCACAATTCTTGATGGCCACAATCTACCTGGACACTTTGGTCAACATCAGGGCTTTCCTCTGAGTGCCAACTCCAAAGGAGGTTTGGAGGGCAGCAACAAGGGGGGATGCTTTCTCCGTGATGGACTGAGTTGCCTGACACCAACCTTGTCATCTTTTTGGCACCTGATTAAATTGGCCCTTTATGCCAAGGCTTTTAAGGATACCCTGGAGTATTCAAGGCCTTTGGAGATTACACATCTCAGATGCTTTTTGGAGGGCTATTCTTTATTGCATGTTTTTAAAAAGTTTTTTTTAATGTTTCTGTTTAGGATGGTTGAATTTTGTAAGATTTTATTGTATTGTTTTTATGAATCAGTTGTAAGCCACAATTTTGGAATAATATGGAAATTAGGAAGACAATGATATTTTCCTTCTGCAACTACCGCAGTCCTGACACCAGTTTTCACTGTAAGAGCTGAAGCAACACCCTATGCTACTTTTTGCTTTGCTAAGGACATGTGTATCTGAGCAAAAAGAAGAGTTCTGTACCTGATCAATTTTCACAGCTGTAGTATTAGAATCTGTAGGCAAGTTGGATCTCTCAAGGTAAAAGGTTCTGAAATCAAGCAATAAATAATCTGCAATCATTTGTGATCATTTAGTTTCAAAGTTTCTTCTGAAGGGGGGTGGCAAACTAATAATCAGAGGGTCACATCAAATACTGTCCCAAGGCTATAAGCGATGGGACGGCATACAAAAACTCTAAATAAATAAAATAAAAAATAAATAGATACTGTAGCCTCAGGGCTGGCATTTACTTCCACTAAAAATGGTTTAGGCTTCTCATCCTCATGGCTGCTCTCAGATTCTCCTATCACTATGACCCAGTTCACACACTACAATTTTGGGCTGATAAACTACAGTTTATTGGCTCAAATATAAATGATGTCCATAGTCTTCCTCTTCACCCTTCCTTTCCTGCTTTCCTCACACTTTGGCTTTGATATTTTCTTTCTTTCCTTTGATATTTTCCTGTGGTTTTTTTTTTTTTTTTTTTTTGCAAAGTCCACAGTAGTAAATTCATTTAGATGCTGCTTATAAACAAAAACCAGATCCTGGTTTGCAAGCAACAGTTTCCTGGTTTGGACATCAGAATATGAATGCTGACACCACATACACAAAGGGAAAATACAAAGGAAGAATAGGGAGAATGAATTCATACAGTCCATTCTTGAAAACAGATCAATGCGTCTGTTTACAAAAGTGCAGACTGTCCTCTCACATGAGGAAGGATTGTATAGTTTCCTTTCACATTGTGATATGCGGTTCTTGTAGGTTTGAGTCATGAAGTTTCTAGGACATTTCCAGCCTATCCCCAGTAACTTACTTCTCTCTGCCTCTGCCCCGCTTTGTGATACACCTTTTAAAATTTCTTTCATTAGATGCCCTAATGACACTTGAAGAAAGTGATCTGAATGAATGGATTCAAAATCAAACAAGTAGTCTTGATTTGTTAGCTTCAGACTGGCTAGCCACTGCGGCAGGACCACTGCGGTGACTTCACTTGCAGTGCCATGCCATCTACTGACATTTCTCAAAAGGAATTATTTGAATGCCAACGTTCTCCTAATGTCACGATACCTGAGCTTGCGATAGTACTGCTGCACCTTCCCAAGTGAGCTGGAATTAATCTGCTGCTGCAGTTCTTCCAGAGATGGACCACCAGGCTGGGAATGGCCTTCCAGATTTTCAAGGGCTGGGAAGATTTTAATGGAAAAGCTTATACATCCATTACAATTTTTGATCATAGATACTATTCTGTAACATACATGCACACAGAACATCTTCATACATAAAGCAGACTTCCCTACTGTTGCTCTCCAGATGTGCTTGACTGCCACTGACAGGAGCCATGCTGGCTGGGGATTAAGGGAGCTGCAGTCCAACGCAGCTGGACGGCACCAGGTTGGGGAAGGCTGATGCAAAATAATCCACAAACCCTTTTCTATACATAGGTTGACTGGCTGACTTCCACGCCCCCTGTGGTCTCGTCCCCAGCTGATTCCTCAATGCCCTCCCCGCAGCGCTGGTCCTGGATTTTTTGCTGTCTGAGGTGAAGCTGCCAATGGAATCTGCAGACGCAATTTTTGAGGTGCTGCATACCCAAGCCACCCAAATTATTTTGGCATGAAGCAGCACAACTTAGGAGCACCTCTCCCTGCCAATGAAAACAGAGCGGTGATTGATTAAACAACTCGCAATGGGCTGCTTCTTTGAACGGATCCAGGCTGTGCTACTTGAGACGCCCATTTCACTCTGCCTAACGCAGAACCAGCCCTGCCTGCCCACTTCCCAACTGACTAGCCCTGAAAATAGCTGAGGAGTGAACCTAGTGCCAGCCCCAGGAGGCGGCACTTGATACATTCAGTGCAATCCTGCTGCACACGGGCTTCATCCTCCATAAACAGACGGGACCTGCAAATGGCTAAGGAGAGAATCAGGTTCTCTTTTGGGGGTTTAAAGACCTGATTATTATTTCTGCTGTACAGCAAGTTAGTCAGAGCTGGAATTAAGCAAGCTAGTCTGCCATAATCCCATCATTTCTAGCAACTTCTCAAATTCAGTGCTAGATCTAAGCATGGTGTAAGTCATGCGGGACTTACTGGCCACTCTGGGATCCAAAGGCATAAAGCTGGGGAAGGCTTGATTAGATTGACAAAAAAAGCAAACTGAGACTGGGGGTGCAGAGGGTTTATCGCACCCCACAGGTACACTTTTTTGCCCTTAAAAGCACCCCTCCCCACCAAAATTAGCACATGATATGTGGCAAACCTAGATTTAAAGAAATAGGTTTGCTATCATCCACTATAATCTTAAAGCAAAAGCTTGCTATGTCCGACCTTAAGCTTACCCTTACCCTGTTAGCTTTATGAAAAATGCTCTCTAATTGGGATCTCTTACCTGCCTTAATTAGGCTTAAACTTTTTAAAATTTAATTTCCACTTCCTGGGTCTTCACCAGTATTCTAATTTAATAATTATGTCAGGGCACAGAGAAGACAGATTGTGTATCTTTATCACACAGGGAACCAACTAAATCACATTATAGTCCGTGGCATAAAAAAGGACAAAAGGAACAAAGAAAGATTTCATCAGCACCTTTTGTAAAGAGCACAGCATGCAGCTTCAGGCTTCCCCCATTCTGAAACCGGGATGGCAGTTTTGAAAAATAGTAGCTGTCCAGATAAAAGATGACCTTCAAAACTTGTCGATTTCCTTCAATGTGATAAAAGACATGGGTATCTGGAAAAACAAAGATACAGACATTCCAGGGTTTTTAGGGGAACGGGAGTGCTGAGAAGACACGGTTTCATGAATGAAACTCCTAAAATGTGTCAAGTAACACAGATTACACAACGAACAGCGTAAGATTAATCCTGCTGAATTAGACCAAAAGAACATCTGTTGCAGAGACCTTTCCAGCAGAGCCTCATGGGTGGCATTCCCCAACCAACCCCAGCACTCCTCAAGTTCTCACCACCCACAAGAAGCCCATGAGCACAAGAAAAGACATTAGCCCTTAAAAAAGGTACAGTACTTGAGAAGCTGGAGCTCCAAGATGGAGTCCACTGTCCTAGTTATCAAAAATGACGAGTTGCTCTGTGCCGGTGCTTGGTAAACTTGTTTTACGTAGCTGCAGGATCAGCAGCTCTTGATCCTGGACTCACAGTCCCCGATTCAGCATCTACAAGTCTGTCCTGGCTGGATTCCAGAATTGCTTCAGTTGCCACCAAATCCCATGCTCATTCACTTCAGCCTTCACCAGGATGGTGGGATTCACAGTGTAACAGGACAATATGACAAGACAGAATTTCATACCCACTGCTGCATCTGGACGGTTGTCCATTTCAGGAGTGCTGCCCAAATAAAGTGGAAGCCCAGTGGCACGTCCCAGAGGTGCTCCAGGAACTTCCATTTCGTATTATGTAGCCACATTCATCAGCATAACGCTGCTGCTTAATTTCACATCACCTGATGACCTCACTTAGTAGCCATTAAAACACCCACAAGACAGAAGGCCCTTGGGAGACTCCCCATCACCACTGCTTCAGGGTCAAATGGAATACCCCTCCCCACTCCACAATCAATTATAAACCCATTTTAAAACCACTAAAAATAAAATAACACAAACCGAACCGTTAAATTAAATTTCTTTTTTAAAAGAACCTTATTCCTGACAGGTCTGAGGAAAAAAATACAACACTTGCAGATTTATTTCTCTGTAGACAGACATTGGAATATAGAGCAGACAGCTCAGTGCAGTGTATGAAAAAGCAAAAAGCTGCAGGAAAATTTAGCCACAAAGTAAAAGCAAATGGCTGATTAACTCACTTGCTACAAAGCACTCGTCCAGCTGCTTGAAATAAAAGGCAACTCTGTCGAGCTCCGAGAGGGTGACCTGAATATCCTCCAGCATGGTTCTCTCCTCCTTCTGAGAGACGGATAAAAAGGAAAAGAGACAAAGGAGTCAAACACAAAGCCTTTTCTTTCCTAGGTGTGGGAAGAAGAATGAATTCCTTCCCCAAACCAGGCATTATATGTCTCAATTACATAATGTTTCCTGTGATCTGCATCTGTGTCCAGCCCTCATCCATAAAACAATATCCTGGACAAGTCTGAAATTTGGCAAGCACTTTATATACTTAAAAAAACCATTATGCACCCATGGGATTGTCTTGTTTCTCTCACAACTATGTGTGATATCATCCAGATGCACTTATTTAAAATTCATGGATCCTAAAAAGCCTAAAGATCAAATGAATGCTAAAAAAATCACTTTCCCATATTATGGTGTTTTGGAGGGGAAAATATCCAAGCGAACATGAAAGTATACAACTCTGTGTAAAGAAAATGATGGCTAAATTTTTGTCTCCATTCTATCAGCCAAAATTTCAAAATGCCACTGAATTCTCGATTCCACTACTAGCTTCATCTTCATAGCCTAGCCATGCCTTCTGGGTGCTTGGCACCTTTCTATGGTGCACAGACATCTGATGCAATGCAAGATACAGCTTCTCACCAGCAGAGGACAGACCGCCACACAAAATTTGCCAATTTGCCATTCTGCACATCCTTTCCTATAATGTTCTCTACAGTGCTGGTCTCCAACCTTTTCAGATCCAATACTCACCTGTAAGTGCAACCTGCAAAACAGAGCCCAAGCTTTACATTGCTATCCCTCTGTCCACCTTTTCTTCTTTGAACAGAAGCCAAGAAGGATAGACCTCCTGTGCATTTAATAAAAGCAGGTTGCTTACCTGTAACTGATGTTCTTCAGTGGCCATCTGTGCATTCACACATATGGGTGCTGCGCCTGCGCAGTGCCTAGGCCGGAAGATTAGAAAGCTAACGGTTTTTGGCGGGAAAACTCTGCTCCCCTCCCCCTTTGTGGTATAAATAGAGTGAAGTGTCCGCCATTTTACTCAGTCTTGAAGACCGCACGTTCGCCCTCTAGAGGTTAAGAATAAAAGTAATGAGAAGCACAATTACATCCCAACGGTACCGCTGTGAATTATCGTACGGTACTGAGAACAATATCCAGTCAGCGACATATACCAACGGTACCAATGCAAATTATAGTACGGTACCGAGAACAATAACCACCTAGTGACATAACCCAGCGGTACCAATGCAAATTATAGTACGGTACCGAGAAAACAATATCCACTCACCGACACCGAGTGGGGCCAGCGGGTGGGTTGTGTGAATGCACAGATGGCCACTTGAAGAACATCAGTTACAGGTAAGCAACCTGCTTTTTTTCGTCGTGGCCTCTGTGCATCACACATATGGGTGATTTGCAAGCTTACCACAGTCGGAGGAAGGAGGTGTCGTCAGCGAAGAACGGATGAGAGAACAGCTCTACAGAAAGAGCAGTCTTGTCTGGCACGTACATCAAGCCGGTAGTGTTTGGCGAAAGTACATGGACCAGCCCAAGTCGCAGCTTTGCAGATATCTTGCACCGAAACCCCTGCGGCAAACGCGGACGAAATCGCTACTGCTTGTGTAGAATGGCCTCTTGGAAAGACAGGTAAGTCTATTTTTGATAGCTGATAAGCCAGGACAGTAGTCTGGACGATCCAGTTAGAGAGTCTCTGAGATGATATTGGTGATCCCTTGTCACGCTCCGAGTATTTAACAAAAAGTCTATTAGTAGTACGGAAAGATTCAGTGCGGGATTTATAAAAGGCCAAGCAACGGCGAACATCAAGCGTGTGTAGAGCACGTTCTATCGGAGTCGACGGCGATGGAAAGAACGCCGGCAGAATGATGTCCTGACTCAGGTGGAATGGTGTGGCCACCTTGGGTAGAAAGGAGAAATCCATTCGGAGGACAACTTTTTCCTTTTGGAAATTCAGAAATGGTGGATCTATGCGGAGAGCACAAATTTCGCTAGCTCTCCGTGCTGATGTTACTGCTACGAGAAAAGCAGTCTTCCATGACACCAGGCGTAAATCCACAGTTGCCAAGGGTTCGAAGGGTGGTTTGGTAAGAGCTTGGAGCACTACAGAAAGACTCCACATTGGCATGGCAGGGTGAATAGATGGATGTAAATTTTGTAGTCCTCTAATGAAACGCTGAACCAGCGGTTGAGAGAAGACTGATAAGCTGTGGATAGTGCCACGATAATGGGATATAGCGGCTGCATAAACTTTGATAGATGATGGTTTGAGTCCCTCATGATGCAATTGTAAGAGAAATTGTAAGATATTGGTGACTGAAGCCGTTCCAGGAGAAAAAGAATGGCACTCTGCAAAAGAGGAGAATCTTTTCCATTTAGCTGCATAGGAACGACGAGTGGACGGTCACAATGCAGATTCGAGAATCTCCTGAATTTCCCGGTCCGTGGGCATCGATACCGTGGCAATTGCTGTCGAATCCGAAGTCGGGGCCACATGCACCGCCTGTTGAGTAAAGTCATCCACAGGATGAGGTGTCGCCGGTACCAACTCAGTGGCGTGAATCAGGCGATCCGCCATGCTGTCAGCCTCAGAGAGAGTATATCCGGATGACGGATTGCTTCTCCTTGTTGCGTTAACACATGCGAGAGAGTTGGCAGATGAATGAACGTTCCTCTGGACAACAGCAAGAGAGTGGCAAACCAAGGTTGTCTCGGCCACATGGAGTCACTAGTATCCCTGTGGCATTGTCATGGGCTATTTTCGCCACCACTCTTGTCAGAAGTGGGATCGGAGGAAACGCATAAAAAGTCATGTTGCTCCAAGGGATCATAAGAGCATCCCCCATCGATCCCGGTCTGACGCCTGCTCTGGAACAGTATAGGGCACATAGGCTCTTCTCTCGGGTGGTGAACAGGTCCATGTCCGGATAACCCCACAAGCGAAAGAGTTTTTTGCAAATTTGTTTGTACAACTCCCATTCGTGGGTTGTTGACATCTGTCTGCTTAGTGTATCTGCTTTGATGTTGTCAGTTCCAGCCAGGTGAACTGCCAGAAGCATGATATTCCTTGGTATGCACAAGTCCCAAATGTCCATCGATAGGCATGCTAAGGATGGGGATTTTGTGCCCCCCTGCTTGTTGATGTAGAAAACTGCCGCTATGTTGTCTGATGCAATTTGGACAACTTGACAGCATAGCACAGTCTCGAAAGCCTTGAGGGCATTGAAAATCACCAGAAGTTCGAGGAAGTTGATGTGTTTCCTCGCTTCTCGTCAGTTCCAAGTACCTTGGACCTGAAGTCCCGAACATGCCGCACCCCATCCGAGGAGGGATGCGTCGGTGTACAGGGTTGTCGTTGGCTGAGGTGGTCGAAACGGAGCGCCGATCGACAGGTTGTCTGAGACAGTCCACTATGTTAGAGCGTGAAGGATTGCAGACGGAATCCGAATCGGCTTGGTGGCAGGATCTTGTTGCAGTTGAAAAGCAGCATTGAAAAACAGTTGTATGGGCCGCATACGCAGCCTGGCATATGGGACAATGGCAATCGTAGCAGCCATATGCCCCAGTAGTTTCTGAATGGATAAGGCTGGGACCGTTCCGTGTAGTTGAATCCAATGAATATGGCTGCATAAGGCATTCTGATGTTCCAGTGGGAGGAAGGCTTTTTCCTGCGTCGAGTCGAGTCGTGCCCCAATGAAATCGATGACCTGCGTGGGAATAAGGGACGATTTGTCACGGTTAATGCAGAGACCAAGAGCATCAAGTAGAGCGCAGGTCACTTGTATATCAGACAGGAGACCTTGTTCGGATTGCAAGACGATTAGCCAGCCGTCTAAGTATGGGTATATTTGTACTCCCCATGTCCTCAAGTGTGTGCATACCGGCACCATACACTTCGTAAAGACTCGAGGGGCTGTGGCCAGGCCAAAAGGTAGGACATTGAACTCGAACGGGTCAGACCCGACAGTAAAACGTAGAAAGCGTCTGTGTGAACGATGGATAGAAATATGAAAATAAGCATCCTTCAAGTCCAGTGAGGCGAACCAATCCTCTTTTCAATAACGGAAGGATATTCTGCAAAGTGGTCATCCGGAATTTCCTTAGTTTGATGTACTTATTAAGAGTTCGCAAGTCCAGGATCGGACGAAGACCACCGTCCCTTTTCGGGACCATAAAATATCTGGAATAGAATCCATGCAATCCTTCCAAGCAGGACAATTGTCGAATCGCTCCCTTGAGAAGTAACTGGGAGGCCTCGTCGCGTAGCACCGATGAAGAAGTGTGAAGCAGATTGGGCTTGAAGGAGGGATAACATCTAATTCTATCCTGTATCCGAACTGGATGATAGATAACACCCACCTATCAGATGTAATGGACTCCCAAATGGGGAGTCGGCCCTGGAGCCAGTCCCCAAAAGGGAGAAGGGAAAGTGGTGTTGGGAAAGAGACAATGGTTCGCCCAAGCCGTCAACGTGGGCGCTTATCGGTATCGAAGCGCCGACGGCCTTGGGAAAAACGCTGTTGCATTAGCTGTCTCCGACGCTGCCGTTGCTGGTATTCCTGGCGAGGGTAGTTCTGCTGGCGGGAATAGTATGGTTGATTCCGGTAGGAAGACCGAGGCCACTGCCACTTATGTTTTTGTGGGAGCTCCATGCGGCGCGCAGTTAGGCGTGATTCATGAATCGCCTTTAATTTGCGGTCGGTCTTCTGATGGAACAGACCGGTACCATCAAATGGCATTTCCGCGCTTCATCTCTTTGGGGAAATTACAGTTGCACAGCCATGCATGCCGGCGCAATGAGATGGCATTGACGAGGGCCCTTGAATTGGTGTCTACATGATGACGAGCAGTAGACAATTGCTGCACCACCACCTGCATCGCCTCTTTAATGTAAACCTTGGCGAGGTCCGCTTGGTGGTCTGGAAGGGAGGAAGCGACGTTATCCAGCTTCTGCATGATAAAGTACTGGTAACGTTCCAGTGTTGCTTCATAGTTCGATATGCATACGCCGAGCCCAGAGGCTGCATAGACTCAGCGCGCAAGCATATCGATTTTCCTCCCTTCTTTGTCCCGAGGAGCGGTATGTCCCCTGGACTCCCTGCCCTGGGAGGATTCAACCTCAAGAGAGTTTGGTTTTGGGTGACGGAGCAGGAAGGGAGTTGTCATGAACTCTATACATGGCCTCATACCTGTGGGAGGTAGCTTGTGGTTGGGCCGGTTGGTCCCAGGACTGGACCATAGCCTGGCGGAGTGTGGTTATAAGCGGCAGGGCTATGGATGAGGACTGCTCTCCCTGAACGACATCATAAAACCAATCTGTGGAAGGGCCTGGCTGCTGATGAGCTTCAATTTCAAGCGATCGAACAAGGCGGACATGAGCTCTGTGAAAGAGACATGCGGTTCATCGGATGAAGCAGGCCCTTGGTACGCGACAGCCACATCAGGGGATGTGGAGTTGACCTCCGAGTCCTTGGAGTCTTTCATGTAGCGCGGCCGGTCGCTAGAGGAGGAGGAGAATTCAGGGGAGGTTGGGCGCGTCTCCGCACGTTTGGAGGTGGATGGGGGATCCCGGTGGAGTCACCTGCATAACGAGTTGCAGGGCCAGTCCCGAGGGGGTCGGTACCGTGGCGGCCGTCGGTACCGAGAAGCCCAATGAACCTGAGCCCCGGTGTTTTGGGCGATCAGGTTTCTTGCTCTTGCGAGCGGGCTTGTCCACCTTCTCCTTCCTCAACTTCTTATGGGTGGAAGGTTTATCCAGACCAGTATGTTTACGCTTCTCCCGCTTCTTAGCCGGGGGAGAAGGCAGCAACTGAGCCTCCATAGAAGCAGCGCCTTCATCCAAAGGACACTGCGGAGGATCAGCAGAGGTCGAGGAAGGACGCTTCGCCGGAGCGCTCATGGTGGAGGAGGAGCGCTGAGGAGGCGCGGATGATGAGGAGCCAGGCCGCAGTAGCAGTTGGTCAGACTGCATTAATGCCTGATCCCATAGGAGCTTCCTGAGGCGATTCTCCCTGTTTTTCTGCGCTTGCTTGGTAAACGCCAAGCAATGACCGCATTTGTCGGTTCTATGCCCCTCGCCGAGGCAGAGGAGGCATAGAGCATGTGGATCAGCCGGCGACATTTTGGATCCACATTCAATACATTTGCGGAATGCTGCTCACTGCGCCATCGCGGAAAATGAAGAAAAGAGGACAGTATAGCGGGTAAGATAATATTTTTGGTGTTTTTTTTAGAGAGAGAAGAGAATTTTAAGAAGAATTGGAAAGAATCGGGAAGAAGAACAAACTTGGAGCAAGAGAAGAAGGGTTTAGACAAAAAACAACGAAGAGGCACAGATCTATAGTGAGAGATGAACAGTCACGAGGCACAGCAAACGGCAGTCGCAAAGACTGAGTAAAATGGTGGACACTCCGCTCTATTTATACCATGAAGGGGGAGGGGAGCGGAGTTTTCCTGCCAAAAACCATTAGCTTTCTAATCTTCTGGCCTAGGCACTGCGCAGGTGCAGCGCCCATATGTGTGATGCACAGAGGCCACGACAAAGAACTGCACAGAAGTAGGAATTTTACCAAGTGTAGCTTGTCATGCAGAGCTGTGAAAAGTTTAAACATAAGAAGCTGCCATTTGCTGGGTTGAGAGGATTGGCTCAGATCTGTTGGTGCCTGAGTGGCCTCACCCATGGATCTTTTCAGCCCTAGCAGGAGTTGTCTGGGATTTAGTTTGGGACCTTCTGCATGCAAAATGGCTCTACCACAGGTTTGCTCTTGCGGAAATGTCCTCTTCATTATTAAAAATGCAATTGCCCAGCCTTCCTCCTTGGCACCTGGCCATGTCTGACTTAGCAGCTGAAGGCAATGCAAGGCTAAGGAATCTGTGGCCATCCTGATGCCTTTGGGACTATGAACCCATCATCCCAGTCTACTGGCCATGCTGCCTAGGGCTGATGGGAACTGGGAGCCCAACAACCTCAGGGATGGCTGAAGATTCACTTCACCCTGCTCACCAAGGCAACTTGCTTCACTAATCAGGGAACTGTAACCAGTCAACAAACACAAAAGAAGCCCATTCCCTGTCTTCTTACATACTGGAAGTACACATGTGAGTCAAGACAAATCCATTTTTTGGAAGCAAAATGTGGCTGAAGCTCTCTGGAAATGCCTTCCTGTCCCTTGACCAGGTGGGAGGGACCCATGGTCTGCCTCTGCGACTCCCCTCCATTGCTGAGACCAATTGGCTGAGGCAGAGGCGACTGGTCCCACCTGCTACTTAAGGCACTAAAACCCTTGTTGTAGGGTTCTGGTGCCACCTGTGTGTGAAGAGGACTGGAAAGGGATGTTTGAGGATCACATTTAGGTTCAGAAACCAGCAATTTTCCTGTTTGAAATGTGCACATTCCCCATTTGAGTGAAAAGAAAAACAGGTCACAACTAAAATGAGAGTGAGGTCAACCAAGCTTTGAAGTGAACTTTTTGGTAAGCTTGAGCGTCCCTTGTTCTCTGATCCCTTAATGTCAGTCAATACATTGAAAGTAAAGGATGTGACGATGCAAATTTCCCTACCCAGGGCAGGCAGAATAACCTGTTGCAGGGATAAATACAGAGGAAACCATACAGTTGCTTGCTTTGTGTTTATGCTTCAGGAAACTGCAGTCTGCCCTTACCACGCTAGGGGAGAGCAAGGACTGGTAGTTAAACAACACTCCTGTAGCTGCTATCTGCTCCAGCCACTTCTTGCTGGCTTCCCTGCTGCTCTCTTCATACTCTCCGTTGTTGTTGTATCTGTAGTTGAGAGCGCTCAACAACTGTTCAGAGAAGGTGCAGATGGCAGCCACCAGAACCTGGCAGAAGATTGCATCTCGTCTCAGTTGCAGTTCTGTGTCTGGGAAAGAAAAGAGCATGCAGGAATTAGGGAGGGACACGCTAGAGCAGTCTCCCACATCTTGGTGATATTTATTACTCAATAAGTAATACATTACTTACTCATTTTATTACCTTTCAATACTGCCTAATAGCCAAAGTTCCCTGAGCCAGCTTCCCCAACCAGGCACTGGAGATGTACAAAGAATCCATTTGAGGAAGGGGGATCTGTCAGATTCCCTGGGCCCAGCTCCTTGGACTCCACTACTACCGGGAAGGTTGCTGGTTTGGCAACCAGGGGTTTGTGAGCATCTGCAGACTTCTTGGCGCAGCTCACATTGCAGGGCCAGGCCAAGCATGAGAGCAAGTCCATGGATCTTTGAGCGATGGATTGTGAAGTGGTTTGTCCCAGCCCCCCTGGCACCTCCTGAGATGTGTTCAAAAGAACTTCTGGAATTCCCAACAATGGCCATGCTGGCTGGAAATCAGAGCCCAATGCAAAGGGCACGGAGAGTGTTTCTGAGTGGGGAACTCTGCTCTGGTGGTTCACAACATGAATATAAAACCTTGTAACATACAAATGTTTGAGGCAGGTGAACATAATTAATCATGAACTACCAGGGCCCAACTAAAAAGAACCTGGGCATAGCAGAAAGTTTTAACCTGGTGTCAAAAATGCTAGTGCCAGGGAAATCTCACTGGGGAGAGCATTCCACAGCTGGAGGTCATCACTGTGAAGACTCTCTCCTTTCCTTCTATCCTCCTAACCTTCCTAAGACAGTAAGGGAAAGGGAGGAGGGCCTCAGGTGCTGAACACAGTGTATGGGCAGGCTCATACCAGGACACAGCCTCCCCTGTTGGTGTAGCTGTTCTGAGCTATGCAAAGCTTTGTAAATAAAGCTTTTGTACAATTGTCCCCTTGTACTGGGCTCAGGAAAGTACAAGCAGGAAAGAATCACTGCTACATGCTCAGACTTTCTGGCTCTACAGTCAATCTAGCTGCCATAAGATTGGACTTCAACTCCCATGAACTCCAGCTAGCATTGCCAATGCTCACAAATGCCAGGACAGGTAATCCAAAATATTGTGGGGACACCCAGGAACAGAGACTTGGAGTAGAGTTAGTATTTATTTCATTGCCACAACTTGTTGTTTCCCCAATAACCCTCCTTATTCATGCGGCCTGTGCACCATGCTTCACAGCAACAGAAGCAACCAGACCTTCTAATATGAGAGCAGAAGGTTTAAATTTCCCCAGAGGGATGCTCAATTTCCCACAACATCAGTGAGTAAATGAGGAAGAAAGGAGCACCAGCCTATAAATAGGGTGTCTGGTATCATCACTGATGTGATGTACAAACATGGTAAGTGGTGTTCTGCCAACATCGCAGTGCTATCAAGTGTGCTCTGACAGCACCTTCTTAATACTGTTTTCCCTCAAACAGAGGAAAAAAAATATTCTCACAACTGCATGTTGGTCCATAAGCAGCGCTTACAGGGTCATGTGTAAACAGCATCAAATCAAGGAGCTGATTTACCTGTGCATTTCAGCAAGGCCAAAAGCAGCTGGTTCTTTCCATCTAGGAAAAAAGGAAAATGATAAAACAGTTAAAAACTGGCATATAATCACTTTCCACCTGAACCTCCAACTCATGCTAGGTACTGAGTCCCAGTAAGAGAGCTAGGAGCCATGCAGGTTTGGAAATCATACCCTGTACCTAGAAACCCTTGCTTCTCAGTCCCAGCTATCCATGGGATGGTTGTGGTTACTTAGTGGAAAAGACAGGTTGCTTGCTTGTAACTGGTCATCTTAGCATTCACACCTGCATGAAGCCTCAATTCAGGAAGCATCCATAGCTGAGAAGTTTGGGTAGGAACACATCCCTCTCACTTACCATTAGGGGGGTTCCTGCCTAATTTTGCTCTTGTGGCCTCAGAACCAAGAGAACGTATCAGTACTGAAGCTGGTACCAAAAGTACCCATGCCTTTAGGCTAAGAACAGTTATAGGTAAACAGCCTGTCTTCCTTCTTTGTGGTCTCTGCAACACACATATGGACAATTAACAAGCCTGACTTACTGGAGGTGGGTCAGTGTTGGTATTGCAGAGCAGAGCACCACAAGAGTGCTCGACCAAACAACCATCTGTTGTGGCTCTAACATCCAAGCCATAATGTTTCATAAATGTACATGGCTTGGACCAGGTGGCTAATTGATACAATTTAGTGATCAGGACTCCTTCAGTTCAGGTGATTGATGTTGCTACTGCACAGGTGGAGTGAGGGATAGCTAGCACAGATCCTGGAAGCTTGTAGGTTAGTAATATAGTCTGCACCACTACAGACGCCATGATAGACACTGTGAGTACACGAGGAGTCCACACAGCAGAGGACAAGGTGAGGTGTTTTCGTGATTAGCCCTGATCTCATCTTATAAGTGGTGAGTGTCCCTCTAAGGTAGCTTCCAGTGGTGTGGTAGGTGACAGGAAGAAAGAAGGTAACACAATGTCCTGATTGTCCAGCTGGAGTACAGCCCTGCCCCTGTGAAAGTTAAGGTAGGGAGTATCAACCTGACGTTCAGCCAGTTTAATAGTCTGACATACTGGTCTGATAGCAACCAAGAAGTCTAATTTCTAGGAGAGCAAGTGAAGGTCCCTTGTGGCCTGTGAGTGCCTTTAAAACAACAAAAAGTCTTTAATGTGGGATCAGTGATTTCACTGCAGAAGCAGCATTATGGTTTCAGTGCAGGAACTGTTTCACTGTCAGATGTGAGAAGACACTGCATTTTCCAGTGTAACATGAAGAACTGAAATGGCACACAAATAAACCTTGAGTGATGTTTTTAAAACCTTTCTGAACCAACAATAGGCAGAAATATAGGATACAATGAGTGGGTTGGGTATATACCAGAGAACAATTTCCATGTGCTATAATAGGAATCCCTGGTATTTGGCTTTCTGGCTGCTTTTGGGATCTCCTGAACTGCAGGCTCAGATATAATACCAATACCAATGAGATATAAAAGGCAGTGTCAAGGGCACTAAAATACTAGAACAAACCGTGCTTATAGTAGAGTATTTAGAACAGGGAAGATGTGGCCATGGTGGCTGTAGTACAAAACATCTGGAAAGCACCAAGTTTGGAAGGCTGAGCTACAAGAACCAATGGCCTGACTTGGTTAAGGCAGCTGCCTATCTTTTAAACCCCAAATCTCCAACCCAGTTTCAGTTCATGAGTTATTTGGCAGCAACTATGATTTTATTTGTTCTGTTGCTCCCCACTGCTGGCCACTTCTCTCTTTGCTAACACCTACAGAATTCTAAAATTAGTAATATGTCCTTTTGCAGCAGTCACAAACCTTCTACATATTTCTGTATGGTCTCAACGAGATTCTTGATACGGAGTGGGAGGTTCCAGGGATCCTCTTGGATGCTGATTTGAATCTTGTTCCTGCTCCGAATTGTAGTTTCCTCTTTCTGCTTAAATTCTACAAACAAAGAGAGATGTTAGCCTGGGGAAGCCAGAACGGTTGAATAAAACAAGTACCCACTCACTGCTTTAATAGCAACCAAGCCCATTCCTCTGTGAAAAGAAGGTCCACCAAACTAGCCCTGATGAAGATGAAAGATAGAACTTAACATTGCTTCTTGGCCTTTTGGCTAAGATCAAGTGTAAAAACAACATAACTGAGAAGACTGAACTGTGCTACGAAGTTCACCTGCAATGTAGCAATGCAAACATATTGCCAAAGCAGTAAACTCTACGCTATGGCCACCATGCTGGCCAATGCACATGTGCCATACATGTGGGTTCAGAGCTCTGCTCAGTACCACTGCAGCTCAGCATCTATAATGGAGCTGCAAATATGGTCTCACTGGGATGCCAAAACACTGGCAATTTCACCAATGGTACCTGGTGCTGGCACTAGGCCTATGGGCACATCCCACCTGCCCCCTCAACTCTCATCTGTCTAGAAAGGAGAAACACAATCCATTCTTTGTTAGTTGCATGTACTTTCAAAGGTGTCTGTTTAATAAACAGCATTCTGCAACTCATGATTATGAGCTGTATATTCCAGGAACAAGCCACCACTGAGGAGCAGCAGGTAATTTCCTGAGGATGCTTCATGCAGAGTGCCAAGGGGCTTCCGAGCAGAATGCAGCTGACCCTCTGTGAACTTATTTGGTTGTTCATCTTCCATGAGTCCCTGGGGGTCTTTTTGCATGCTCAGTCAAGGGTTTCTGACAATCAAATCGCAGTCTTAGCAAGATACTTCTGAAAGCCCTTTCTTCAATCCCAATGGTGTTTCTATATGGTTATAGAAGGTTGAAGGGCTGGGACGGGGGGAGGAGGCAGGGGGAGATATGATGCTGTTTATTAGCACACAGAAGCCAAGGAGGCTTAGCACCAAATAGTTAAATGGAAAAAATGCTATGGAGAAAGATCTCACTGAAATAGCAGAATAATGCTTAGAGTGGTACAGGACCTGATTACCATTTGGCTCTTCAAAGAAATCCAAGTAAAGCAGGTTGCTTACCTGTAACTGATGTTCTTCGAGTGGCCATCTGTGCAGTCACACATATGGGTGCTGCACCTGCGCAGTGCCTAGGCCAGAAAGATTGAAAGCTAACGGTTTTGGCGGGAAAAAACTCCACTTCCCCTCCCCTCGGTAGTCTATATAGAGCGGAGTGTCCACCATTTTCTCCAGTCTTTGGAAACCATACGTTCTCCATCTCATGGAAGAAGATGGCATAACAACCTAGCATGTACTGACACATTCCCTTTCGGTACCAATGTTACAAGTATGAGGTACTGAAGCAGTATTATACGGTACAGACAATGAAACCACTCACCGACACTGAGCGGGGCCGGCGGGTGGGTTGTGTGACTGCACAGATGGCCACTCGAAGAACATCAGTTACAGGTAAGCAACCTGCTTTTCTTCGTCGTGGCCTCTGTGCATCACACATATGGGTGAATAGCAAGCTTACCAGAAACGGTGGCAGGAGGTGTTGCTATTGAAGAACGGCAGAAAGGACAGACCTCCCGAATGAACAGTCTCGTCTGGCACGCACATCAAGGCGATAGTGCTTCGCAAAAGTACAAGGCGTAGCCCAAGCTGCTGCCTTGCAGACCTCCTGGATGGGGACACCCGCAGCGAACGCGGAGGAAGCTGAGACTGCTCTAGTGGAATGACCCCTTGGAACAATAGGTAAGTCCAGATTTGAGAGTAGGTACACCAATGAAATCGTTTGAACAATACATTTCGACAGTCTCTGAGACGAAACAGGTGATCCTTGGTCTTGTTCAGAATACTTTACAAAAAGTTTATTGGAATGTCGAACAGATTCTGTGCACGATCTATAAAAAGCCAGGCATCATCTAACATCTAAGGTGTGCAAGGACCTATCGACCGGGTTCGACGGCGACGGGAAAAAGGCAGGCAATACAATGTCTTCGTTCAGGTGAAATGGTGTGACAACTTTAGGCAAACAAGTAGGGTCCATCCTCAGGACCACCTTTTCCTTATGGAAGTTTAAATAAGGTGGATCGATTCGAAAAGCACAAACTTCACTGGCTCTACGAGCTGAAGTAACTGCAACTAAAAAAGCCGTTTTCCATGAAACAAGGCGTAAATCGACAGTGGCTAATGGCTCGAACGGTGGCTTTGTAAGCGCCTGTAGGACAACCGAGAGACTCCATGTTGGCATAAATGGCCGAATAGACGGGTGGAGATTCTGCAGGCCTTTAAGAAATTTCCTAATAAGCAGCTGTGAAAACACCAACAGCCCTTGTACTACACCACGATAATGTGAAACTGCAGCTGCATAAACCTTAATTGAGGAGGGTTTCAGTCCTGATCGATGCAGGTGCAGCAAAAACTGAAGAATGTTCTCAACCGATGCTGTAATCGGGTTAAATGAGCTAGATTGCGCGAAGGATGAAAAACGACACCACTTCGCTGCGTAGGACTTTCGGGTGGATGGTCTTAGTGCAGACTCGAGAATCCTTACAACCTCCGGATCCAAAGGATTTGGTCTCGACAATATTCCCATCGGTACCGAGTCAGTGAGGGGGTCAGACCGATCATGAGTTGAGGTACCTAGTGATCTAGTAGATCTCTGTTCTGAAACAGTCCCCTGAGTCAATGAATCCTCCACGCAGTGAGGTTCAATGATGACAGGTCCGGATGATGGATGGCCCTGTTTTGTTGGATTAGCAAATCTTGTGTGAGCGGAAGGCGAAGGAAATTGCCCTTCCAGATCCGAAGGAGAGTGGAGAACCACGCTTGACGAGGCCACCAAGGTGCTATGAGTATTCCCGTGGCATCGTCTTGCACGATCTTCGAGATGACTTTGGTCAGCAGAGGAATAGGTGGGAATGCGTAAAACCTGGGATTTGTCCATGTAATCATAAGGGCATCTCCCATCGATCCCGGTCCTATTCCCACCCTGGAGCAGAACCTTTTGCACACCTTGTTTCTGTGGGTAGCAAAGAGATCTATGTCCAAATGTCCCCACAGTTGGAACAATTGGGTGCAAATTTGGTGGTTTAGTTCCCATTCGTGGGTGATCAACATATGTCTGCTCAAGGAGTCCGCCTCTTCGTTGTCGGTCCCGGGCAGATGGACCGCCAAAAGGGTTATGCCTCTCGGGATACACCACTCCCAAATGTCCATGGACAGGCGGGCCAGCACGGTGGATTTTGTGCCGCCCTGTTTGTTGATATAGAATACCGCCACTACTATGCTGTCTGATGTGAGCTGTATCACTCATTGGCTGTATCACTCATTGGTGAAGCAGAAAGGGGATGTCGCTCTCTTGGACCCGATACATGGACTTGTATCTTCTCACCGTAGGTTGAGTTTGAGAAGGCAAGTCCCAGGGTTGCGTCATCACCTGCCACAGAGTTGTAATAAACGGCAAGACGATTGCTGGTGATTCTTCTCCCTGGACAATGTCGTAGAACTTGTCGGTGCTCGGATCTGGCTGATGTTGCGCCTCGATCTCGAGCAACCAAACAAGTCTAGACATAAGCTCCCCGAATGAAATGTGGGGTTCTTCAGGCGATGACGGACCTTGCGATGTAAGAGAGGTAGAGGTAGAGTCGGCGTCCAAGTCTTGGGTCTAGGATGGTATGGTTACAATGAGGAGGTCCCTGGAGAAGTGGGATGCTAGGGCTCTACATGCTAGAAAGTAGACAGCAGATCCTCATGAACAGAAGGCGAAGAGCGATCCCGCGGGTGAGGACGAAATCCAAAGGAATGGTAGTCCTCCCAACCCCTTGGGTAGTCATAGTAGGGTCGGAACCATCCTTTTTCCCGCCTCTCGTCCATTCAGGTCCGAGGTGGTGGTGATGGAGATCGGTTCCTAGCTCTCGCCATGGGCATAGGAGTCGGGGACCGGGCCCTCGGAGAATCCTGAATCTCCCATTCGGACATCAACTCACGATGCTGCTCTTCGGGCAGTGGAATAGGCATGCCCTGTTGAGGAGCAGATTGCACTGGTGACCCCAGAGGAGTAACCTGCATTGCCGCCTGAAGCATTGGTATCGAGGCTGCCGTCGGGATCGATGGGGCTGTTGAACCCGAATCCTGATGCCTCTTCTTATGAGGCGCATTTGCCGCCTTATCTTTCTTCACCTTTTTGTGAGCCGAAGAATGATCCGATCTCCCGTGCTTCTTCTTTTCCCATTGTTTACGAGAGGGAGAAAGAGGTAACTGAGCCCCTGGGGGGGAATTTCCACCGTCGGATGGTTGCGGCTGAGGCATAGGCAGCGTGGGCGAAGGGCGTTGCCCGGACATGCCCACAGCAGAGGCTGAGCGTTGAACCGGCTCAGACGAGGCTGAGGCCTTGCGCTTAGCAGATGGAGCATGCGCTGGCCCAGGTTTTCCTGCAGGCTGATCGGATTGCATCAGTGCTTAATTCCAAAGGAGTTTGCACAGCCGGTTCTCCCTCTTCTTTCACGCTTGCTTAGTGAAAGCAAGGCAATGACGGCATTTATCATTGCCTTGCCGAGGCAAAGGAGGCACAAGTCATGTGGGTCTGCCGGAGACATTTTGGATCCACATTCCGCACATCTGCGGAAGGCCGCTCGCTGTGCCATCGCAGAAAAGGAAGAAACAGAATACAGAAAAGAGGGAAAAGTAATATATTTTTGGTTTGTTTGGGTTTTTTTAATAGGAACAAGTAAAGAGAAAAATAAGATATAAACTGGAGTGAGGGAATAATAACTTGGAATAAGAGTAATAAGATAAACGGTAAGTAATGAACAATACTGAGTCAAGCGAGAGACGAACAGGCACGAGGCACAGCGAATGGTGGTCGCAAAAGACTGGAGAAAATGGTGGACACTCCGCTCTATATATACTACCGAGGGGAGGGGGAGTGGAGTTTTTTCCTGCCAAAACCGTTAGCTTTCAATCTTTCCGGCCTAGGCACTGCACAGGCGCAGCACCCATATGTGTGATGCACAGAGGCCACGACAAAGAAAGCAATTTAATCAAATCATCATCATCATCATCATTCTACCCAATAGTCAAAGTTCTCTGGGCAGTTCACAACAATTCATAAACATAGATATAAAATAGACAAGTAAGATTTAGAAGGTGGCCTGGACATGCAATGAAACTAATCGGGAAAACAGAATTCAACAACAGTTGCAAAGGGATATAGAAAATAACTGAAACTATGAAACTATTTAGTAGAAGCAGATGTTAGAAAAATAGATTAGTGGAGAAATGGGGTTTAATTTGTTCATTGATAGAATGAGAAAATGCAATAGCAATTTTCATTCCCTTTATTTTTATTGTTGCAAATTACTGCAAATTTTATTATTGCAAAATACTGCCAGAATTTATCATGAAACAGGCAGAAAGGTGTAAGAATGTATTTGGGGTATGATAGGTTGTTTTCCTTGTCAGTGTTTGTTCCATCAATATTTATTTGGTGCCCCTGACACTTGTATGGTCACAATAACCATGAACACATACACTATCAAAGGAAGAAAGTATATTTTCATGGATAAGGAATGTCTAGCTTTGAATGCTGGGAAAATGTAGCTTCTTTATAAGTCCAGTCAAAAGGGATGTACTCAGCCTGTGTGCAATAAATATGCATTTACTGCTCATTAAAACTACCATGAATAATAGCCCTCTTTTCTCTTGCCTGCTTATCTCCAGCAGGGACATATAGCATCTACTTTTGCAAAAATTTAAGAAGCATTCAGAAAAATCTCCAAGGAGCCTACTGGATAAACAAAGAGATGAAGATTTGAGCACACAGGTGAGAGGAAGAATCTAATAGCAGGACTATCTGACTGCTATTCCCCTAATTACCCAAAATGTTGCCATCACCTAGTCAGTCTCTGGGCCCTCTTCATCTGCCAGTGCTGATGGAATCCAGGTGAGCGAAGAGGAACTTAAGAGATAAAAGAGAAGTGCAAGTTTCCGTCTGCCGCTTCTACCCGAATCTCACTCAGCTTGAGGATGCAGAGAACAGCAAACTGTATTTTTAAAAACTTTTGGGGGATTTCTAATTGTGACTCTTGAAAGGGAACCCAAAAAGCCACACCCAATTTGTCACTTCTGACTGGGAGGGGGTGGCTTTTCCAGGTTATCTCCTACATGCCACAGAAAAAGAAAGAGGAGGAAAGAGGGATGAGGTGAAGCAGAAGAATAAGGCACAGCTGGAGACTGAGAAACTTGCATCTGTATGATTAAGCTTTGAGAAATGCTGATTCTCCTGGGTTTGGGACTTTCTGCATGCTTACCTTGCAAACTGTGGTCCATTGGAAAGTGTTTGGTTTCTTCAAAAGCCTTGCTTATTACTGGTCCTTTGAGGAGAGTGTTGATGGCATCCACCTATGAAGAAACACTTTCAGTCAGTCCTGAAAATTCTCCGGGACAGAATATCTAGAGAGATAAAGGGCTGTTTCTTCAGGAAGCAGCTATTAAATTATATGCGTTGTGTTTTGAAATAGAGACATTATTCCGAGCTGAATAAAGAAGTGACACAGAACAAATGGTTACTTTTGGCAAATAGCCATTTAAAGGATGTACGTCTGCAAATGAAGCCGCTGGGGCAAGAATAGTGCAACCATCAGCACCGGGCTTTTCCAATGGTGACACAGCACCAGCGCTCATGATGCTGTGCTAGCGTAAGTCACAATGTCATTAGTGCTTGTTAGCATGAAGGGAAGCAGCAGGGGGTTTCCACTGAAAGCCAGCAGTGGATCCCCGCTTTTTCACTGTGCAGTGGGAAGTGTTAATGACATTGCACTGGTGTGGTGAGCTATTTGTTAGTGCTGTTGGCTCCCACTGCATTACTGGCTTATGCTACGGCTCGTAGTGCAACATCATTGATGCTATTGCTGTGCTACTATCAGATACTGTTCATGGTTATTAATAGAATATGGCAGGGAAGCACGAGGCAAGTCCCATGGGTTGACACCTGTACTGTCCACTCCCTCCCAAGGTTATTCTCATGCAGGTCACTCCATTCCTGCCACTGCTGGCAATCTGCATCAGAGCCCCTGGGGTGAAGGGGGTGGAGAGGGGGCTTCCCAGGCTTTGTGCAGAGAGTTAACTCTTTCTCCATCTCTGCCAGCAACAAAGAAAACTCCTGTATCAGTAACGTTTGGATGTGTGTGTGTGTGTGCGCGCGCATACACACGTGGGTATATGCAAGTGCATATATGCGTATATGTGTCCTCAGTGAAGTCTGTGGATGGGAAAACAGTGCAGATTATACCTTATATATCTTATTGCCTGAAGGGCATGCTGAGAGGTATCAGTTCAGAGGAAACTGAGAACTGCTGAGCCTCCTGCATGATTAAATTATGGAATTTCCAAATACAAGATGCAGTACTTTGTAATGTGTTTTTCCTTCCAAAAGAAACCCCCAAGCAGCTAACTCTAAAGTATCAAAACAAATACAGTAATATCAAAAGCAAGAGAAGCAATATGAAGAATTATCTAATAAAAATACTACAATTAATACCTAAGAGGGAGAAAAACAATTCAGTTATCATTAATAATTGATCTGAATTAATACAGTAGTCTAAAATATTACAGAAACAAATTACTATGGGACAAAGTTTTCAGAAAACACCCCCAACACTAAGGGATGCTATGACACATTAAATTAAATACACACATACATTAAATCAAAAAGAAAGAGAAGAACCTTGCTGTGGGTTTCAGCAGACTCAAGGCATGTGCCCACATGCCTTGAGGATTGGCCTGAGGCTGCTTCTCCAAACAATGCCCCATCTAAGAGGCTGCAATATCATGGCATCTGGAATTCCCTGATGCACTCTGAATCCCACTCCAGAGTTTCTATTATTATGTCAATGACCTTAAAACCAGGGACAATGAAAGGATCATGCCAATGTCCAGAACATAAGGAATGGGGGACTGTTTGGTAGCTTGAAGTCTCTCCTACTCAAAGGGAGGAAGGAAGAACTAGGGCAGCAATGGGGGTCTCTCTGGCAAACTGCTGGAATACAGCCCCCGAGACCCTTATGTTAGTGAACCTCATAACTGGCCTCAAAGTAGGATCAAACCAAATTACATAGCATAGTTTTGCACTGTGCTCTCAACCACAATGAAGCCACAATGTTTGGAGGGACTGTGTCCTTGATGCTGAGGATGTTGAGGAAATCCACAGGAGGCAGAGATCAGTTTCATATTCTGCCTGTGAGGTTCCACGGGCTTTTCTTCTGATCAGTGTTGGAAACCATCACCTGAGCCCTCAAGTGACCAAGTGAGGCCCCAGCAGAATTTGTCCTGAGCAAAGCCTCCAGCTGCAAGTCGACACTTTGGCTTGGTTTGCCAAGAACAGAGAAGAGGGTATACTCCACGAAAGTGATGGAGTCTTCCCCAGTTTGGTGCCTTCCAGATGTTTAGGAGTTCAACTCCCAGCGGCCCCAGCCAGCATGGTTAATTGTTAGGCACGCTGGAAGCTGTAGTCCAATAAATCTACCAGATTGGGGAAGGCTGGTGTTGAACAAAGCCATGAACCATCTGAGGTAGTCATGTTACACACCTGATTGAAAAGATGCTCAAGGCAGCCATGTAATTTATCTTGCTTGTCTGAAGGTATCCTCATGTCACTGGGAAGTTCATCACCTAGTGATGAAAGAAGCAAAGCTTTGAGTTTGGAAAAAACAACTTCAAAAGTAGTAAGTGACTAATTTTAGATTCATTTGCACAACATTTTCTCATTGTATTCCTCCATGCCAAACTTTTCACTCCTCCCACTGGTTCCTCCATACCTCCAGTCACTGATCATATTTCAAGGTGCAGAACTTCACACCATACTTTCATGAACTTTCCATAGACTCTTGGTCATGATCACTTCCTAACAAAGCATTTCCATTAGATAAGCTTAGAAGAGGCTTTGTTCAAGGCAGAATCCTAGGAGGATTTTTTCAGTTCCACTAAGTGCCTGTGCGAGTGTTGAGAAGATCTGAAGTGAGGAAAGGGCATAACGGTGCAAAGGATCTAGCACCATCTCCTCCACTTCTGCCACTTCGCCATCCTGACCATTCCACCAGAAGCTGCTTTCCTATTCAAAAGGGATTACACTGGGGTGATGCTACATTTTTCTGTAGGTAGCATCCAGTTTAGGTCACAGGCAACCACACGCAACTGTATTTTTTCTAGGGAGATGACGAGATGAACTTAAAGAGCTATTATTTGATTTGTTTCTTCGTTAAAGGAATAATAAGCTTCCTGTTAAGGGAAATCCTTCTACAAAAAACAAGATTGCAAAAGAATTACAAATAATAATAACACTAACAGGATGATCTAACTGGATTGCCTTATAAGTGGACATTGCACTTATAAGCACTGACTTGGCTTTAGAGCCCCACATGTCCACACACAAGCATAGTGGAAGTAATAAGGCAGGGATGTTAAGTCAGTCCTCCAGGCCAAATCCAACTTGCCTAGGGTCTCAATCAGCCCTCTGGGGTTTCCCAGATGGCTGCAGGCCCCTTTTCTGGTCTCATTCCACTTCTCCAAATTGTTAATTGTTGGTGGTGTCTTGCACTAGGCTACTCTCTTCCTTTCAAGCAGATCAGGAGAAAAGTCTTTCTAACTAAAGTCTTTATTATGTTAAAACTGCCCAGCTAGGCTGGCTTTGTGATGCAAAAGAAGAGCATTCCAGAAGTCAGTAACAAAAGACACATGCAGATTTAGAATCCAGGCCATTACGTAGCTGATTCCAAACTGCCTATCTCTCCTCCCTTCCAAACCAAAAAGCAACAGCTCCAACTTAAGGTGGATCTTACTGCTTCTGGTCCAACTGCATGGACCATCTGGCACTTTTCAGTTGGGCCTCCCTCTTAATGGGATGCCCTATAATTAGATTAAGGACGCTAAATTTGCCCCCTCAACTCAGTATGCTCTCCAGAATCAACCCTCCCCCCACTAGAGAATCTCAGGTCCTCAGCAACTGCTAGGTTCATAACTGCCTTGGCATTTTAGCTGCAATTTGCAAACTGCAGTTCCACCTTATTTTCCACTTCTGAATCAGAATCTGAGTCAACAAACTTTGCAGGCTGCATTATGGGAACAGTGGCTCTAATCCCTACAAGTTTCTTGGCCTCTGTACAGTTTTTCCTCATTCTAAATGCTGACTTGCCTTTCCTAAGGCTGAGTTACCAGCAATAAGCCTTGAAGCAAAAATAAAGTAATACTTGGATGGTTTCAGCCCCATGCTTCTTGCCTTCAGCCCCACTCACGATGCTGTATGGTCCCCGAGCGCTTCTCCAACACTGACTCTGGTCCCCAGATTGAAAACAGATTCTACACCCCAGCACTAAGGAAGCACCAGCCAGCAGCCGAATAATTTGCAGCCATGTGTGGAGCCACTGACTTATGGGCTATGGGTTTCTGAATAATTCTCTATTAATGTCCCTATACGAAGACATGCCATTGACTCACCTGATCCCATCTCATCACTGCCCAAGTAAGAGCTGTTACTCCGCACACTGGTGTAGGAAACTACTGAGTCCCTGTTACTGTTGCATTCACTAGAAGAAGAAAACATGTAAGCATAAGAAAAACTTCTCACGCAGAACTTCTGCCAAGCATGAGGAGCAGCTCTGAAAAAGCATGTACAGGATTTTTTATTCCTTTTTAGTCCGGGCTATCTCTTAATCCAGTTTACAACAGGCAATGGCTCTTCTAATTTATGCAGTAGGAGGATGGTTTCCTTTGGTGACCGAATACACTGAACTTCATCCCAGCTTCCATGGCTGAAGATGGATTGCAGAACTGGGACATTAGTCTTTATCAGCATAGTTTATGGGAGTGACAAAAGATGACCCCAGGAGGAGAGTGTGAGCAGCTCAAAATTAAATCCACCATGATTCTCCATGCTGTTTTACTATGAGTTCTTCATCACTCTGAAACATAAATACTGGTATCCAAAATGAAGATTCACTAGGTTTCTAGGTATATATTGGGTTTCTAGGTATATATTAGGTCACTTCCTAGGAAGCTTTTGTGTACCTATATTGTGCTTTCTTGATAACCTTGAGATCCTTGTCTTATTTCCTGTTAGAACCAGTTCCTACGATCAAGAAAGACAGATGCTGCTGCACATGAAGGGCCACTCTGACAGATTACTTATGCCAGGAGTACAGATTTGGAGCACAATCCTTTATATGTTTGCTCAGAAGTAAGTCCTGTTGCTTACTCTTTTGAAAGCTTAAAAGCTCTTTTGGGAGCAGCAACTCATCTGTTTTTGCCCATATAACTCTGTAAGATGCCACATGTCTACAGAAGGCATAGCAACAGCAGTAAAAAAATCATAACAGTATAAAACTATAGTGCTTTCTAGAGTTGGCAATGCTGAGTGAAATGACAAAAAGAAACAGAGAAAAAGAACTCTCTCTCAACTTGATTTCTGCTTGTACTTTGCATTTGTCTGTGAGCCTCCCCCCAGGTGGTGCCTTCCAGGTGTGTCAGACTGTAACTCCCACCAGCCCCAGGTTGCATGGTCAATGGCCAGGGATGGTGGGTGTTGCAGCCTGCAGCATCTGGGCAGGGCCAAAGTGGGGAAGGCACACATGTGCATGTATACAAGCTATCTGTTTCTCTGCAATTCCGAAGGAGAGGTATCACATTTGGGATTGCTGGAATCAAGGCATCAACGGCTATGAAAGGCACACTGATCATGAAGTCGATCTCCTGCAATAAAGCATGACCAATGCTAACAAAGTTTCCTCTTAGTTGCACTTTGTTCATTCTTGTAAGCTCCATGGTTTCCCTTTTTTTGACTAAAAACTATCAAAGTATATTCCCTTCTTGTATTGTTAGTACATATTTTATATATGCTTAATTGTCTCAGTCAGAAAAAGAGAAGACAGAATAATCTTTCTCATTTTTCATTTATGTCTAAATTCTGAAACAAGCGGCAGCCCCACTGGGAATCTACTTTGATATCATGATGTTATCCAGAATAGATTAGGCTCAATTACAGGACCCATTAAATGAAACACAATGAAGGATTAGGAGTCGTATGAAATAATGAATAAAATGATTCCCATTGCATGGATAGACACTCACGGCACATAAAGTAGGTTTTAATGTGAAGACACACTGCCAGAAAGAGACTTTCCCACCACCCACTAAAAGCTTTCCTATGGTACCCAAAGTGGGGATTTAAACCATGAAAAATATGCTTTCCTGCTTGTTCAGTACTCAGCTCTTAGAGAAAATAAATGCTGTTAATTCCTGTGACTAGAAAACTTGAGCTCATGACATCAGTAGTTTAATTTTAGAAAGGAAAGGGCACATCTAATTGAATTGCCATGGCCTATTTTGTTTAATGGGCAGATTGCAAAACATGCTGGGGATTTTCTATAAACTACCATGGACATTTGACAGGTCTTGGCTACCGCTCAGTAGCATTCAGTGTTCGGTTGTCATGTTAAGCTCTGGCTCATATAAAGCACCATTTCTTTTTCCAACAATGCAGGAGTAATATTCAGAGAGCACAGGGGCTGTAGCTCAATGGCAAAACACAAGCCTCACATACAGAAGGTGCCAGATTCTTTCTCTAGCGTCTGCAGGTAAGGATGGAAACCCTTCTGCCTGATCCCCCTGGAATGCTGCTGCCCATCCGTGCTCACAATATGAGGCTCAATGTACCAGTGGTCTGACTAGGTGTGAAGCCACTTCCTAAGTTCCATGTGTTTGTTTATTTGTGTATATACCATGCATTTGAAAGTTATCATGCCTACATGACATCTGATAACTACTTATCCACATAGAGTAGAAGGATCACCATGAGGAAAGCAGCACCATCATGCTTAACTCTCAGCAACAAGGGGTGTAACTGAAAAGGAACACTCTAGTTGGCTTCTGGTTCCCCTGTTGCTGTCAGTCAGGATACAGTGACCAAATGCACTTCACCAAAAGAGTAAACATAGAAACAGAGCGAGTCAGAAGGGGTCTCCCAGGCCATCTAGTCTGACCTCCGGCTCCAGCCGGCTCCACTCACGACATGCCCACCATGTGCATGTCCAGCCTATCCTTGAATACCCGCACCGATGGGGCCTCCACGACCTCTCGAAGCCCATTCCACACCCTCGGGGTCCTAACTGTCAGGAAGTGCTTCCTGGCATCCAAATAGAACCTTGGCTCCCTGAGCTCTGCTCCGCTGGAGTGTATCCTGAAAGAGGACACCTTGCCAAACTTGCCCTTGCAGCCTTGGAGAGGCAGTTGATCTCATTCTTTCTGTGTTGGGGGATTTGAACAGAGTTTCCCAGCTATGAGGTCAGAGCAATTTTCTGACATTGTAGCTAGGAATCTAAAAAATCTCATGGCTGCATAGATGCTGTCTAGCAGTCATAGGACAGTGCTCTTAGTTCACCATGCACAGCATGAACCAGAAAGGGCTTCACGTAAGCTGTGCATCCAAAGAGTTCAAAGAAGCACTGTTGCAATTCCTAGTCAGAGGAGTTGTGGTTAATTTTGTCTGCCCCCAAATGCCTCAGGCTGGTGCCTGCTGGCTTGAGTCATGCGAAGATCCTGCCAATGGCGTCATCATTACTATAAAGTCCAATTAGTCTGTGCTTTCTGTGGATGGTGTGTTTGTACACAGAAGACAACAAATGGTCAGTTCTGCAAACAACAGCTGTGCAGCCAGTCTCAACCCAATGGGCTTGTGCTCCTGCAAAAGCCACAAAACATGCCCCTTTCCGGCTGCTGTGCTTCACTGGATAAAGGGGGAAATTCTTCCTTCTGACCTCACCTGACCTGCCCCACCACTGAAGCTCTGAGGTAAGCTGATCCTGTGACAAACATGTGAACTGTGACAAACTGCTGTGAGCTCTGGAGAGGGTACACTTAAATTCATACCATGCAAATGATGATTAGGGCCTGATCCAATACCACCATCATCTGTACCGTACATCTGCAATGGGCATGGGTCTCTGGTATATAGGAGGGATGGCCACGCTCCTCTTGCTCTGTGAAACACTTTAGATAGCCCGTTTCAGCTGTCTAAGTGGGGCATAGGATGCCTCCTATCTTGGTGGTGCCCCGCCTCAGAACACACTCAGAAACTCTTTGCCAAGGTTGGTTTTACAAACCTCAGAGAAGCAGCTGGTGCTGTTTTTTCTGAGCTGGCTGCATGGGAGAAGGGGCTCTGAGCACAGATCCCCAGTAACAACTTGGCACAATTTTCTGACCCTGTAGCTGGAAATCCAAAACATTCTATGGCTGGGTAGATGCCATCTAGCAGCCATGGAATTGTGCTGCTCATCTGTTTTGGGATATACAATGACTTCTAGACAGGCAGGACTAGGTGGGACTAAGAAAAAGCCCTCCTTGGAAACTCAGAGAACTGCTGCCAGTCAGTGTTAGCAATAGTGGGCCAGACAGACTGATGGTCCAACTCAGTTTAAGGAAGCTCCCCGTGTCCAACATTCATAGTGAGTAGAAGAGACATGGCAGTGGGAGAAAGTGATCTTGTTTCTCATGTACTTGCATACACACACTGAATTACCTCTTGCATGATTTTGTACATATACATATATGAACATACACAGACACTCATCATGAGTGACAGGTGCTGTATCCAGAAGTATACATAAGCTGCTAATTTAAATATGAGTCTCTGTTTCAATTATTCTTAAACCTGTGTTCTCAGATGAACCACTTTTACACAGCCCCTAAATGACAAAAATATATATATAAAAAGTAACGAAACCTTTCCAGAACTATACTGCTCTCTTCAAACAACCCCTTCTGTACTTTAGTGCAGCTGTACTAAGCTGTGGGAAAGCATTGCTAAGTAGTGGATACAGCTCGCCTTGCTGGCACATTATCTGAGAATGGTATCAGTCAAAATTCATGGTCAATTTACTTCCCTTGTATCAGTGCACCAGGCATTTAATTTTAATTTGTCTTTAATCTTCCATTAATGTTTCAAGTGGCCTCCCATGTGGCAGTCATAATATAACTAAATCTTGCAGGACCAAGATACAGAATGACTGTTGCACTCTCCAGTTGCATCCTTAAGAGGGAAGATCTAAATTTATTTATATGTACAGGGCAAAAGGATACAATTTAGCAAAAGTCACCTATGGCTAAATCAGGCATATTTAATTTTTGCTACACTTTTAAGTCTCGCTTAACCAAGAGCACAAAAAGCGTAATAAACGAAAGAGACACTCCTTACAATTAAAAAAAGAAGTTAAAGGCATTGCAAAGAAATCATGCAGGATCTCATCTGGGAGGTTACATTTTGAGTTCAGCATTTTAAAAGTACTTTATGAACAGCCCCTTGAGGAAGTGGGGCAATATTCCAACTTAGTAATATCTTTGTTGATGCATTAACAAGCAGGATTTCAACACAATGTTCCAGTTTAGCCCATCCTCTAAGAGAACTACTGTGAAGGCCTATTAAGAGAACTGGGGCACAGGAGGAGGTGAGTTTCCAGTGTGGGGAAAGAATAAAGAACATCTTGTTGATCCTCTTCTTTGAGGTTTTCTTCTACTGTGCCATTTAGCACTAGAAACCTGCTAGCCTCAAGCTACCAGTCCCGGCAACTTACAGTTATATAGTCGTATGTTCAGAGGGTTGTTACAGAGGGTGAGAAAGGGAAAACTGTGCTTTTTATTTATTGTTTCCTGAAACATCCCTATATAGTGCAAGGGAGAATTTTTTAAAAATCACATGGCCCAATCCTACCCTTTTTTTTTTAGTATACTTAGGTTTGTATTCAAAAATGTCCTCCTACTAGAAGAACAAACACTGCTAACAGACTGAATTCCCCCTTTTGGAAGTTGAGAGATTCCCCAAAGCAGAATTAGGGGGAATGCCAGAAACAGTAGGAAAAAGAAGGAACACAGAAATTCCTGCTGTGAGAGTCTTCTTCTGTAGACTTTATTATAAGGTGTTCGAGCAAGTCAATTCCGTATACTTTCTCTCTCTTTAACATCCTGTAAGGGATGACAGCTTCCTGTCAATTTTTCTGATTAAGAAAAATCATTTCATTTACAAGAAACTTGTGTACTTCTGCATACCTATGTTGTCTTGCAACTATGTAGAAACAATACCCTTATTTTGGGTGGTCTTTTGCTAGGTATGCAACCAGCTAAGATTCCAGTCAGAAGAGATCATTAGACAAAAGAATAGATGCACTCTGATGGCATATATTCTCCCCCAAGTATTCTACTGTGAAGTTGCTCATCCATTTGTTCATAAAGATTGGCTTCTTCTGTCTCAATATCCAAGTGAAATGCCTCATTGAACCCACCTGTAGGAATCCCTGTAACTCATTGTATCGTGTCCTGAGTCTTCCTGGTCTTCCTCAGATACGTTGAAACAGACCCTCTTAATGCCATGCTCAGCTTTGTCAATATCACTGTCCTCGGTGACCAAGGACTGGGAGGACATATCCTCTGTGGAGAGAGGCTCACATAATCCAGCTCCTGTAGGCTCAGTAATGGTGGACAAAAGCCTGCAGATGTAGAATGAGAAAGAGTGTAAGAAAAATAAAGTTCAGGCTCCTAGAGCTGGAAGCAAAGCAATTGCTACAAATACATGGGGCAACACATAGATTGCAGGTTTATGAAATCCCATATGAACCTGTTTATTCAGAGGTCTACAGCAGGTGCTTCCACCTAGAAAAACTGTGACTAGGCAATGCTTTCTAGCCCCTACCATATTCACTTGTGGGTTCCAGGTGGCCCATTTTATTCCCGTGTATTTAATGGATATTTTGATTCTGTTTTTACTGTGACTTGCTGTTGCCTTCCTGATTCATTCATTTTTATTGTAAACAGTGTTCACTGATTTTCATTATAAATATGTGTAACCTTCGATGTAAGCCAGGTTGTAAGTTATAACTATCAGGTAGAAATGTTATCCGTTAATCAGTCAAGGTCATGGCAAAAGGTTTGTGTAAATCTCTAATGTGGTCGTTAATGAATGCAAAGCTCCCATTTTACTAATATATCACACATGTATTAAATAATCTACATATACATTCAAAGGCCACTGAGCTTCATAACCTTTCATTTATTTAGAATGAATTACAACAGAACACATCAGGCAAAATATAATAGAAGTATTATTCCATGACATTTCTATTTTCTGACTTAACTGTGATCCCAAAAAGATGGTTTAAGCAAGCAGATCTTACAGACACTTCCAAAAGATGCTCAGGCTAGGACAGGTTAGTCTGTAGTAGTGGCAAGCAGCCACTACAAATGGCTGTCTTTACATCTTTGTTGACCTTATTTATTAATTTACTTATTTTAAATGGTGCCTGTTACCAACATGCTCTCTGGGTAGCCAGTACCATATAAAATCAGCAAATGTTTCAATACCCTTGACTGACAGAAGGACAAACAAGTGGGTTCAAACATGCTGGTTCAAATCAAGCCAGAACTTTTCCTGGAAGCGAAAATGACAAAACTGAAGCTGATGTACTTCAGGCACATCATGAGAAGGCAAGTCTCACTGAGGAAGACATTAATGCTAGGGAAAGTTGAAGGCAGAAGAAGAAAGGGAAGACCAAATATGACAATCTGGAATTCACAAGAGCTGAGCAGGACTGTCAAAGATAGGTTATTCTGGAGGGCATTCATTCATTGGATTACCACAAGTCAGAGAAGACTTGGTGGCAAGTGGCAACAGCAAGAAACAATATGGCACATGGAAGAGGGCTGTTTGCAAGGTATGTTGAACATAAGTTTGGGCCTCTGTGAGAGATATCACTTTGTATTATATCTGGAAAGGTAACAGTTACCATTGTAGATGACGGGGCAAAACTTTACTCTTTTGGGGGCAGGGGATGCAAATTAAACAAAACAGTTTTAACAACAGAATCTGGAGTAGCAAAATAACCCCATAACAAAACACAGCCAAATATGCACCCCAGTAGAAGAGGGATAGGAAAACTGGCATTTCAAATGTTGTTATACTCCAGCTGCCATTGGTCCCAGCCAGTAGGAGAAATGAATGAGGTGATGAGAGTTGTAGTCCAACAGCAACTGTAGGACTACAAACCTGCAGTAGGGGAAACACAATAATATGATCATACTCCACTTCATGTAAATTCCCAGTAAGGCATTGAAGATTTTAAATGTGTGTTGAAATAATTCTGTAAACACAATTCCAGTTTCATATGGAACAAATAAAGCTGATTGTTGAAATCCAAAAACCCATAAAATCAGGATAACAAATGTACCAATCACTGGATAAAAGAGATGGATTGTCTGCCATATTTCATGCCAATTCTCTGAGGGTATCTCACTCTGGTTGAAAACTTTATAATTGTCTCAGATGTGTTAAGTTTGAAAACTAATGAAAAGAATCTCTTCTCTTTAATCTACTGACTTCAAGAAAGAAAAGTTTCTTTCTCCTGAGATATTATTTCATAATAATCTAGAGATTTAACCTGATGTAAATTCATTCACAAATGTTTCCAGCTGAAACCAATGGGGAGTATAAATGAGAGGAACAATTCAACAATTCAATTAAGTTTTAATGCAATTAAGATTTGATAAGGGAATGCAAAATCACACGTTCCCTTCTCCTGGGCTGTTCTCCCTTTCTAGTAAGATTATTTTTTCTTGGAGTTAAGAATTATATTGGCAGCAACCTTAAGTGTAGTTAATTCTTAACAGGGTTTACTGTAAACCAAAGGTTGGAAACCAACTTCAAACCCTAGATAATAGACAACCATGGCTCATATCAGTGACAATCTAAGCTTTGACATAGTTTAGGCTGATGGGGAAGGGTGGGCAATGAGGTGGAAGGGAGAAGCAGCACATGATCCCATAATCTGCTCTTCCTTCCTTCACCATAGTTAATATACTGGGGACACTACATCTGAACTTATATTCTTAGAGCTGCTTCTATTTCACTGTTGTCCAAACCATCCTTTCCCATTGAGCAGAAATGAGAAACACCCGAGAGGGAAAATGTTATCAATGTCTACTAGCCTTGCTGGCATGTGCTACCTCCATTATCAAAGGCAGCATGTGTACATACACCAGGAGCCTGGGCAGGGGGAACTCTTGTCCCCGCCCTGCTTGAGGGATCCTGTGGACAGGTGGCTTGTCACCATGCAAATGGAGTGCCAAACTGGATGGACCATTGATCTGACCCAGCATGGCTTTCCTATGTTACTGGAGTTACAGCCCATTTGGTCAATGGCCTCCAGGAAGGCGGATTATTTTGCCTGCAGTCTGCTGGGCCATGCAAGCCCTGTGCAAACAGCATGCACAAAAAGTTCTGCTGCATTCAACACTGTGCTCAAAGATGTCTAAATGCAAAATGTTAATCAACTCACTTATTGATCTGAAGGACATAGTGCTTCATTTCCTTAACTGCTATGTCCAGTTTGTTGAAGAGCTGCAAATAGGAGTCCTGTATCTCTCGATCCTCTTGTTTCAACAGAAAGGCAAGTCCCCTCTCTTCTTGAGTGGCTCCTCCATTCTCTTGGCTGTAGCAACTATCATATTGTCCATGTGGACTGAAATCCCCATTTTCCAGAGTCAAGCACCTCCATGATGGTGCAGCCATAGTAGCTATGCAATGCTGAGTGTATGAGACTGGATTTAGGCTTCCTAGTTAAGTATGAAAGAGTCTCATTATCAAAAGTATTCATTTACAAAGATGCATACAAAGTTTTTAAAAATGTGGTTAGTGGGAACAGTCAGCTATTGTAAAACTAACAACTTTCATTGTGAAATAAAGTAATAACCTTCTCATCAGGGCAGCAGAATTTTGAATACTTGATAGATTATGTGTAATTTGTTTTGGGCATAAACCAAGAAGGATGAGTGGAATCCTCCAAACATGGAGAATTGCAGGCAACTTATACAGGGTGGAAGAAGGACCAAGATGAATGTTGCCTGGGCTCCGGCCCTGGCAAAGCAGTTTGATGGCTGGTTGTGGCTGCTGAAGTGTTACACCTCAGAGGAAGAAGCAAAGAGGCCAATATTCAGACTTGGACTAAAGCAGCTTCCTATGTGACCAGGTCTATAATAATAACGGGACAGTCACAGGGAAGCAGCAGGCCAATCGATGAGTAGAAACAGAAGCAGAGCAGTTCCTTCTCCCTAACCATTGAAAACTGCCTATAGCCTTAGTGTTCTTGGCAGAGACCTTCTTTAAAACGGTCCACGAGGACTAGCATGTACTTGTTAAATATACATAGTTGGAATTATTGGGATGTTGAGTAAGGTTCATCGGATTCTGGGACTTCTGGTGCAAATACAGCACCAAAGATGATCTATGGACATCTCTGCCCTGGTGCCAGCATCCCAACATCTCGTTCTATCAGCAGAGGACCAAGTAATAGAGGACTGCTCTTTTTGCTGATATCAATAGAAGGTGGCTGGAGTCCAAGAACTCTGCCCGATTATAGCTTCTGAGACACATGGCCCTTAATTGTACAGTGAGAGATCTGTTCCATCTCTTTTGAAACTTTTCTCCAGTCAATAAATCATTCTTTTGATAAAGGAACACAGAAATTTGTTCAAGGTCATATGGCTGTTATATGTAAGATGTTAGCTATGCTCAATGTCATTCCCCACCCCACCATCACCAACCTTCCCATGGCCTCCAATACAGTCAGTGTTCCAATAAAAACCTCAATGCCTTCCTGGTGTCCCAGTAGAAATTCTTCCTCCTTGAAGTACAAATGATTGTTATACCCCAGTGGAGACCTCTTAGAGTTACTGTGTACCTTGGTCTGGATCGAGGCCAATGATAGAAGGTTTCCGCCCAATGCGAATGCTGAATGACCTTCCTGTTGAGGTAGTGTTTTTGGGGTATGACACCTCCATGAGGTTAATGTGACAGTTGGTGGGGCAGAAATCCATTGAGTTCAGAGAGTGAGGCTCTGTTGTGGCTTGTTTGAAGGTTGGGCTCACCTTCGTTTTCAACTCATCAGCAAACTAGGAAAGAAAACTGTTTATTTCATTTGTACAAACAGACAAATCCACAACTGCCTTGTTGAGGACCTTTTCCTTTTTTTCTCCTTGCACCACTGCACACAGAAAGAAACGTTAACCCCTGTAGCCCACTTTCAAAGTAATTCATAGTAATTCACAGGAAAAAGGACTTTCACAGGAAAAAGGACTTTCTCAACAGCTACAGAAGCCTATGTTTGTTTTGCACAATTAACACTCAAGCAGCTCACAACATCCACGAGAGACAATGAGTAAGGTAGTAATCAATTTAGTTAAAATACTAATCTGCAAATGCATTTGTTGAAAGTACCACCTTGGTTTTGACAATTTCAAATAAAATATTTTAATAAACACTTATTTTTTTAAAAAAATGAATGAGGAAAACCAAATTCTGCTGCACAAACAATAGAAAGTTAATGAAAATGAGCAAATTTACCTGTCTGTATAATTTTGATTATATCACAGGTTTCATTGCTGGCACTAGCATAAACACATGCTCATGGAACATTATTTATTCTTGTTAGGCAAAGATGGAAAATGTCAGTTTGTACCTTAAGTTTGGCAGCAAACTGTGTTGCCAAATTTCAGGAGCAAAGCATTGCTTTTTCCCCTTTGCCTCTCATATACTAAAGATGTTGCACAGGTTTATGCTAGCATTGTGTGAGTAGCACTAATGCTGAGATAGCATTGGATACTGTCCATAGAATTTGTCTTAGGAAATTCTCCAAGCCTCATCAGACCCAAGCAGCATGGCCGATGGGAACCGTAATGCAGTAACATCTGGAGGACCACAGCTTCCACACTCTTGGCTTAGAAGGCAATGCAATACAAACAAGGAAACATAAAGAGTATGGAGAATTACAAGCGGCCAAAACCAAGGATGTCTTCCAATTTGGCCAGTGCTGGTAAATCTGAGTTAGTAATGAATAAGCCATAGCAATTGCAGAATCTAGCAATTCCAGATTCTCTGAGCTTGGCTCTCAAGACTCTGGGCCTCTGCGAAGTGACTTGGTTGCAAGAGGCCTGCCACAAAAGCAGCCCTCTCCCCCCCGCCCCCACCAACTGCTATGCAAGCAGTGTCCCTCTTCCATAGAATCAGAAAATCATAGAATAGTAGAGTTGGAAGGGGCCATGAAGGCCATCAGGTCAAACCTCCTACTGTTGCAGGAGACCAATTGACACCATCCCTCTCAGTTGGCTGTCCAGTTTCTTCTTGAATGTCTCTAGTGTGGGAGAGCCCATGACCTCTCTTGGCAACTGGTTCCACAGTTGCATTGCTTCAACAGTGAGGACACTTCTCCTGATATTTACCCTGAACCTAGGTTGTCGGAACTTGATTATTCTGTGTCCTACACTCTCGTATCAGTGACAAGAGATACTGATCTTCCTCTCTGTGACAGGTATTGAAGAGGGATATCATGTTCCCCTTCAGTCTTCTCAAGCTCTCTCAGTCTCTCCTCATAGGGATCATTGGATCATTTTTGTTGCCCTCCCCTGGACCCTTTCTAATTTTTCTGAATCTTTTTAAAAATTACTGGACATGCCAGCCACAACCACCATTTGGGCTATTGCAGAAGAAGTTTGCTGATTGCACAACTGGGGCTCTGTGAGCATTCATAGACTTTCTCTTGGTTCACTTTGGGAGACCAGGTTGAGGACAAGAGGAAGGCAATGAAGGCTTGGAGGGACGGGTTCTCACAGGGTTCACTGCAAACCTGCTCCCGATGTCTGTAGCCACTTTGAAAATCTAGAATACCACATATCAGTTTTTGGTTTATTTATTTCAAGTTTTTGTATCCAGCCCTGTACAGTGTCTCAGGGCAGTGTGCTGTAGTTGAATGGGGCCTGAATCCAACAACTTTCTCCCTTTCTAAAACACCAGAATAAGATCATGGCTCTGTCAGAAGAAAAAAGAGCACCATGGAAATCCCACTTCTCTCTGTGTTAAGACCCTTGTCCTTTCTTGTATGCACAGGTGTGACATGCTGACATAACTCTGCAGTCTCACTGAAATCAACAAGCCATACGAAAGTTTCATTATCTATGACTGAATATGGACACACCCCTAAATCAACCTCCTCCATTGGAAGACACAGTATCTGAAGCCATCGCTGTGGTCTAGTGGCATCACAAGTTCTGTGAAAAGATAGTGAGGTGTGAAGAGATCCTACCTCTTGATAGCTGGCAACTCTTCTGCTGATACTTTCCAGCTTCGTATCACAAATCTGCCGGAACTCATACTGAGGCATGGTCACCACAGCACTGCTCAGGGCCATGAGCCTCCTGCAGTTCCTCACAAAACAGTTGTCATCCGTAGCAAAGGCCTCTAAAATCTAATGCAGAAGACATGAATGGGTTTGCGTGGTTGGAGAATGAAATGTTAGAAATAAAACATCTTGTGAGACTGCACATTTCCAAAAACCAAGGAGAACCAACCGACCGACCAACAAACCGACCAACCGAAAAAGGCTGGTTGCTCAAGCAAAAATTTTTATGCTTCTTAGGAAAAGCTGCTTGGGACAAGGTACCTGCTGCAGCACCTAAGCAGTCTGCCCAGCTCCCAAAGTAGCATAGCAGGGCTGTACATACAGGTTTTAGACTTGTGTTTTATGGCTTTAGTTCTTGCTTTTCGTATGACACTGGACTCTTTAACTGTTAAATAACTTGATTATCGTGATTCCTCTTTTATCATGGGTTTCCACATATCTTCAGTTACTTTGAAAGTAGAAACTATTATAATGTAAAGATGTCTTGTAAATAGAAAATAAAGATGTTTGCATTTTAGTATCTTTTGTATTAAATATTATCCATCCTTGGCCTAAAGCGACAGGGAAATGCAAAAACATGGATTAAAAGGTAGCATGCAGTGGCATAAACCTTTGCTGTGAGATTGAAGGCTCCCTTTGGCTCAACAGTCTTCTCTAGGACAAAGCATTTGATCCCAGCTGTGCTGACATATTCATACACAACACCATGTTCCAGGTGGACATTGTCCACTGTCAGGCTGACAAGAGGAGTGCCTTCTCTGATGATTAGAGGAAAGCCAAATGGCTGAAGCGCCAGGCCTGAAAAAGAGGGAAAAATCATGTGAAGAACACAGAGACAAAAGTGCTGGCTGCAGTCTGCCAAAAAAACCATCATCTCATTAATTAACATCCTTTATACAACACAACGGGACATGTCATATTCCTGGGCGAGGGGTGGGATTGGGGAGCTAAATGCTAGTTCCATAAAGTAAATGTAAAAAATTTGGTATTTTCCATCTGTCTCTAATTAAAATAGCCCAACATCTTCTCTGTATTTATGAACTCTGTTGGTAGTAATTCAATGGGTTTTATTGGTGAAGGAAACAGATATTGGATAAACTGATAAACTGAATGATACTACCATATGAACAATTCATCATTTTCACCTCCAACAGATTGAGACAATAGAGATCTGTACCAGAAAATGGTTGTTTATGTCAAAATATGGGAAAAGGGATATTAACAACATATACTCAGTCTAACAGAATCTGGAATTTATGTATAAAAGATGTTTTTGCCTGTCCAACATTACCAAGATCCTAACCATTACTTTCCACCTGATGTGAGGATGCATGAGTAGCAAAAAAGAAGACTGCATTGCACTCCACTGGAGGGACATGATCCATTCCCAAGATCTCAGTCACACTGACCTGTAACACCTTAATTATTTAATTAATCCAGCTTTGGGTAGTCACTCTTCCATGCTCAATGAACATGCAAGAAAAGCAGAGCATCAGCCACATCTCCCTCTGGTGTCACATCTGTTTATTACTAATAGCTACCAGCCTTGATGGCCAGTACGGCAGACAACATGCCTAGGTACACACTTGTTGGGGAACATGGGAAGGAAGGTAGAGTTGCATTCAAATCCTGCTGTGTGCGTTTCTTGTTGGCAGCTAGGTGGCCACTGTGCAAACAGACAGCCAGACTAGAGGGACCCTTCTGCTGATCCAGTATGGCTCTTCATATGTTATTATCTGCTACTCTATATGCTTGTCCTGTCCCCATTCTGGGTCTACACATGGCGCAGGAAACAGCTACATACACCCTTGGTGTTAAACATAAAGGAGGTTACAAAAGCATCACTGAAATATGGTGCAGCTTAGTATCATTTTAAGTTGTTTGTTTTTATATGCATTTTTTACCCAAACATTTATTTTAAAAGATCAGGTTCCTTCCCTTCCACTGCCAAGGAAGTTAGATGACTAACAGATTGGGAAAGGTCTGAGATTACAGGTCTGAGTGAATACACAACCCTCAATTTGTGCTCCAGGCATCCTGATCCAAGGCTAATCACTCTCAGCAAATGTCCCACACTGCCTCCTTCCATTTTGCACTGCTAGAAGTTCAATGTTTGCCTCCAAAGTATGGATGGTGCCATGATGAGGTGCGTGTTTGGGGCAAATATTCTTGTTTGCAAGATGTGTGAATGCTTGTCTTAAATGAAACGCAATGCCTTTTTGAAGAAACCCATGTAGGAAAAATATCAAATGGGACTTAAATGTCCCAAATACTCTCCCTTGCCATTTTGGTCAGTCCTTCTCATCTTGCAGCTTTAGCCCACTGTCACTAAAAATATCCAACAATCCCTTTTCTCAACAGTATTCTCATTCAGAATCCCCCAGCTTAGCTGCAAGTCCATCATGTCCAATTGAGGGTAATGAGTTAAAGTAACAGACTGAGCTGGCATCCTACGTGGCACAAGGGATACAGTAATACAGTGGAAAACATGGCCCAGTGTGACATGTGCTGACCACAAGTCAAGGCACTGTGTAATTACATCGGTTTGTGGCTTGATAGAGCAGCTGCCAAGTCAAGCAACCTGCACCACTGCAGCCAGTACTCAGAGACCTTATCTAGGGCATGGCTAAGGAGGGCAGAAGAACCAGAAGCACTGTTTAGAAAACAAGTCTGTAAATCGTGCATGAGTGCATGAAACAGCAAAGAAACTCTCAAGGGAGCTGCAGGATGAAAGGTCTTCACCTGGACAGCACCAGGAAGACTGTCTGCTCATCCAAGCACCAGCCAAGTTGCTCACCTCCCTGCTGATCTGAGCATGGCAGCAGAGATTCTTCTAGGGGGTTCCTTCAGGCAATGAGGCTTGGAGGCCAAGTGCCACACCTGCCCCTGAAGAACCTGAGGTTCTACGGTTTGGATGCAGAATCTTTGCAGGCTGGAGGTTCTGCTTGCCAGTCATGGGTATGGCGCTGGCTTGAAGCCCAAGGAAATGCCACTTGCAAATAAATTCAACACTCACATTCTAAATCACCAACATCTAAAATGATTTCATTATCCATAACTGCTTTTTCCAAAGGATGGATGACAAATTGGTTTGCTTTGCATTTTAATGTGAGCTTAGTTCACATTTCCTGAGCCAATACACAAACTGAAACACAATTAGACCTTGATATTAACACTTCTCTGGATTTTGAACAGATGCAGGATGTAATTAACTTATGCTTGGACAAATGAGGAACTAAGTAAAAGACTGAATCTGCCTGACAAATTCATGAATCTGAGACATGACTCTGACTGACTGGGCCATCCATCCATACCTTACCTTGCTTTGGCTAAAAGACAGACGTTTTCTCAAAATTCTGTTCACTGAAGGATCATACAAACATATGAAATTCATCTCTTACTGGGTCAGACCACTGGTCAATTTAGTCTGGGATTATCTCTTTAGCTGATAAAAATGGCTGTGGATCACTGCCTAAATCAGCCTTTTCCAGTCTGGTCCCCTCCAGTTGTGTTGCATCAGAATCCAGTAATTCTCGCCAGCATGATCACTGGCTATATTAACTGGAAATTATGGGACTTGCATTCCATCACATCTAGAGGACAGCAGGTTTGGGAAGGCTGGCCTAAATAATTTCCTTCATTAGCAAGGAATGGATTTTTCCTTACCTCCTTCTTGCTGGCTGTCATTAAGAGGATGGAGAACTGCACTTTCTTCAATTGAGAGATCCCCTTTGCAAGACTCAGAGTGACTTCCATTCAGATATGAGTTTGAAGCTGCCTGACGAATTCTGTCCTCTTCAGCATCTTCATGGGTCCGGTAAACCCACTGATAAAAACCCTACCAATAAAGCAGGAATGTTAGGAAGCTATTTCCTTTGGGGGGGGGGGGCTGATGTGATTTCTTTCAGCAGGCATGGAGAACCTTTGGCCCATGGATCTCTGTCTAGCCTGCTGGCTCCTTTTTCTTCTGCCCTCCTTCCTGGGCAAAAGTTGTCATCTCCATTCAGCTGACATTTTCCCCATTTGACACCAAGGAAGGCTTTCTCTCTCAGTACCGAGCAGGAAAAATCCCACCCCCCTGCAGTTATCTGCACAGTTCAGATGAGGAACGATGGGTGAAAAAGTCTTGCTTATGTGCAAAAATGATGCTTCCAAATACCTGCTATCATGGACAGACCTCCCTTATCCCAAACGATGGCAGCAAACTAGATTTTGAAAATTGTTGCAGTCATTTCCCATCACTTAAGCCAGACTTTTGCAACTTAGTGGTAGCTGGGCCACACTTTGAATACAGTTGTGTAGAAAAGCCCAACGATTAGATTGTTTTTATAGATTCCCCCAGTAAAACACTGGGGAACCACTGACTTGTAGGATAATTTTAGTCAGCCCTTAATTAGAGCCACAGCATTGTTTGAATTTAAGGGTATGACGTGGAGTCAATTGCTTAAAAAGAAAAAAAAAAGTATAGCTAGAAATGAAATTTGTGAGACCAAAGAATGGTAGTGCTGGAAAATAACCTTGGATCTAAGCAAGGATTTTGTAACCAAGCTGTTTTTAAAACCAGGATCCAACAACATTGCAGAGACTTTATAAGGGGGTGCTTTCAAGATTTCAGAAATGAATGCTATTTTTACTATTGGTGCTTGTCTTTGCTAACTGAGAGTTGGACAAACAGGAATATTTGTGGCCAGGAGAATCATTTCTGATGTTCTATTTTGGTTTAGGTATGCAGCACCCTCCCTGAAAGATGAGGGAACGTAATTCAAAGCAGATGTGTTCAGCTACGCTATGTCTTCTCCCATATCTCCCAGTCATTGTAAGAAGACACCTGCTTCCTAGCCAGTTTCAGACACCCATGCGCTCACCAAAGATTCCTGCTGCCGATTCCTGTATGAGGTAAAGTGCTCCAGAACCTCAGTGTAATTTTCATTCATCATGTTATTCCCATTCACTTTCAGAACACACTGCCCGGGATGAAGCCCCACAGCTCCAGCTTCTGAGCCTTAAAGAGGAAGACAGCAGAGGGTTGAGGAATGAACAGCAACCCAGCAAGTAATGAAGGACACAGGATCTTCTGGGCAAGGGGAATGGTGGCCCTAACATAGCTTCTGGAGCAATTCCACAGTTCTTTTGCTTGCAATCATCAATACTGGTGAAGGCTGTAGTTCTAGAGCCAATTTTTACCTGAAATCAGAGGGACGTAATTCTAAATAAACATGCAAGGGGCTGTGCAGTAAAGGCTTTTTGGAGCAACAGTACTGGACACAAGTATCATAAGATTCGGATTGTCTGGTCTAGGCAGGAATCACAAGGTAGCCATATTCAAACCTAGTGTGGCTCCAGGTTAGGCTTCCTGAACTCAAAAGCTTTTATTGATAACTGCAGCTAAAAGGGCATCAAGAAAAAAGGCTGGTCGGCTCACACAACAAACACAGAACTCCGGATTTCTAGTATTTATACAAGTCCTGCACCATACAAAGACTTCATACTTCTTGCTGATGGTAGCAACCCAATATCACACTCCCTTATTCCCTTCTGCATCTAATAGGACCATCTCCACTGAACTGGATCCGGGAGGCCACAGGTACATCAATTTTGGCCCAAATTTAGTACATCATATCTTGTTTGAAGTATCATTTATCTTATTAACATTTTTAAAAAAGGTGACAGCATTGTGTTATGGACAAGGCAAAGGACACGATGAATTCCTGCAAGTTTCCAGTTAGGCGGAGGAACAGGTTATCCATGAGAGCACACAACCTGTAAAGAAGTCTCCCATTCTGTGGCCATTATGCTTCCACATTCCCTTTTCTCACCTCTGCCCACAGCATGCACATATGGTGGTGCTACTCCCCGTATCTGGAAACACAACTTTTCACTGCAGTCTGGGATTTTGATAATCCTGTCAAAAATAAGGAGGGAACAGAGAAAGCTCTCAGTGGGTTAGATGACTTGCATTTTATTGCACAATAGCTATTTATCACTCAGCAAGAAAATATCTTGGGATTGGATTCTGTGGGGAATTTTGTAACCAAAGGCAAAGCTGACAAAGCTCCTAACATCCTGCTTATTACAATTTGGAGAAAAAGAAATGAATAAACTACCAGAAATAATATGAGAAAATAATGAAAAAGCCACCTAGTTGCGACAAAGCTCTTTCCCCACAAGCAGAAATATTGCACTGGGGAGTTTTTCCACTGCTGGCAATGTTATGTTGCCCTTAATTCAACTCGATTTGTGTGCTGAAGCTATTAACTCTGATGCATTAAAGATTTACTCTTTTGCACATATCTCTTTTATGGCTGCCAAGATTTGTTATTTTTATATCTTGTTTTATATATACAACTGCTCACAGATGAACTGCAGGAAAGGACGGTAAAATGCTTATTCTATGACTGCAATTCTCTGGGGACTTACTCTTTAGACTTGGTTGCTACAAGAAGTCTAAGAGGTCTCCGTGAGCAGAAAGTCTGGTTTAAGATGGTTTCCACCTCTGGAAATGGACGCAGGAACACCAAATCTTCATTCATGGAATAAATTTTCCGTCCAACCTGCAAGCCAGCCATCTGAAATGACACACAGGCATTACAAAACACCCCTCACATTTTATTGTTTGATGATTATGTGGGAGAGGATCCATTAAATTAGAAGTTTCCGAATTGTGTTTTAGGGGGCCCCTGAAGTACCTTGGGAACTTATCAAAATCATTTCATTGTAAAGCTCAATGGATGACTCTCCTGAAAGACAGCTTGCTTGTCAGTACCAATTGTCCATGCATAAGAGTATTGTACAAGCTTTAGGTCATATTTTTGTGCACCCAGGACAGCAGTACAACCCAACACAACTCTAATACCCTGTAGAACTACATATGCCTTAAAACATGTGCATTACAGTGTCTTTGATGACAGATACTGAGACATTCTTTTATTATCTACTCTAGTCTAACTTCATTTGTATACACTAAGGAGTTTATTAGAGTTATGTTAGAGGCAAGAGTACAAATCAAAACTTTTGCCAGGCTTTGATATTTAAAACACTGCTTTTTTGAACTAACAGAATCAATTAGGCAATTCTATACGCAAAGCATCCCATTCAGATTGCTGGCCATCACCACTTCCCATGGCAGTAAATTCCATAGTTTAACTATCTGCTGTGTGAACAAATATTTCCTTTTATCTGTCCTAAACCTCCCACCCATCAGCTTTATGGGATGACTCCAGGTTCGAGTGTTATAGGAGAAAAATGTCTCCTCCTCTCCTTTCTCCACACCATGCATTATTTTAAATATCTCTATCATGTCTCCCCTTATTCGACTTTCTTCTAAGCCAAACAGTCCCAATTGTCTTAGCTGCTCCTCATAAGGGATCCGCTCCAGCCCTTTGGTCAATTTTGTCGCCCTTCTGTGTACCTTTTCCAACTCAACACATTTTGCAGGTGATGCAACCAGCACTGAGCACCATATTCCAAGTGTGATTGCAACAAGGATTTCTATAAGGGAGGTAAAATTTTGGCAGCTTTTTTCTATTCCATTCCTAATGGGGCCCAGCATGGAGTTTGCCTTCTTCACAAAAGCTGAGCACTGGGCTGACATTTTCATCAAGCTGTCCAACCTCACCCCAAGATCCCTTTCTTGCTAAGTCACTGGTTACAGTTCAATGCTCTTGAACTTGCAAACTATTTCTTCTGAGTAAGATAGTAAATATGTGTCCCAGTGGGTTCCTTTTTTATTGCTTCCTTGCCCTGGTATGTTGGGGTTGTATAAATTCCAGAATTAAGGCATGATTAAGGCATTACAATACAGGCCTTCAAACTAAAATTATTTTTAGTTGGTGAAGGCTGCTACAGATGGAAGAATAATTCTATTTCAGGATTAATTCAGAAACAGCAAGCTCCTAGTCCGTATGGCTGTGGAGATATGCTTGAAAATGTAGGGAAATGCCTGCTGAATTCTGCCAGAGCAAGATTTCTTTAGCCAATATTTAGGCTTCAGTGCTTGCTCTTCCTAATGGTCACCAATATCACAGTTATACAATAGTAAAAACTCCAGAATAAGTTAATGGAAGTCAGAGAAGTGATATACATTTGCACTATTCTGGCAATTCCTTCAGGCCACAGATGCTGGGTGATACATGCTATTTGACCTTTTAGTTTGCAACAGTGCCAAATCCAGGTTCAGGGGGTCTCTTGGGCAAGACACCCAAAATGGCCCTTCACTCAACAAGTCCTCTCACTGCCCTTGCCACCGTTCGCTACTCTCCTCATCCTCATCATTGCTTCCTCCTGCTCGCTTGAAGGACAGGTAGCAAGGAGTGAGAGGCAGCTGAACAAGCAGGTGGATTAATAAATATGATTGCAGGTGGACTGATAAAGATGAAGAAGATGAGCAAGCCTAGGGGGTCCAACCAAGGCCTAACCATGTCCACCTTTGATGATTGTCCTCATTTGGACTACAGATGGTCCTACAAATAATCACAAGTGTAAGTGACCCACACCTGAAAACTTACTGCTGTTCCTTCCATCCGTGGCTACTTCATGAAGCAAGCCACACTGATCTGATTGAAATCAAAAGCTGTTCCAGAAACAGAAAAACTCCACTGGCATTCTGATTCTCCTCACTGCCCCCAGAAAGCAGCAGACTACCAGAGGGTTTTCCAAATTATCTGCAGTTGCTGCGCTGGCCTTGAACCATATGCTGGATAGCTTTGTAGTATCAAAAGGCAGTTTAAAAGCCCAAGAATGCAATAAAAGGCATTATCTCTTGGTTTCAAACTTGAGGAACAGAGACAATAGCCTCTCCTGTGCACCGAGATTCAGCTTTTGCTCTTGTTTAAAGCAGTACTTTAAGGTTAAAGGGGTAAGAGGGGCAGATGGGCAAAGCCATTTTTCTTAGAGGGTCAAGAAAAAGATTCCTTTGCAAATCATGAGCCTCTATAGTCTCAAACACTAACAGATTTTGTTCTCCAAAAACTGAACTGTGCTTCAGGAAGCTGCCCAAAGAAATGACTAAGTTATTATCTGTCAAGCAGTGACTTACCAAGAGGTTCACATTCATAAAATACTTGGCTAATATAAGCAGAAAAATATTGGGGTTGCCAATAACCATAAGGAAAAATGAGGAATCTAGCACTGTTGTTTACCCAAGAGGCCTGGCCTTAGTGACAGAAAGATCTTCATGTTTACCCAAATGGCCATGGCCTGTGCAGCAGTGAGAAGGGTAACCACCTCTTCTCAGTTGCTTGGAGGACAAGCACCACACAAATAAATAAAAGCAGCTCTAATTAAGACAAAGAAGTCAGTTTAGAACTACCCTACATGTATAGCAATGATATACCGTATGGATAGGTAAGCCTCATAGAATAGGGCAGACTTCCTGATCATAAATGCTCTCCAATAATGTTAGATCGCAGTTCCCAGCACTCATGACCCTTAGCTAATGCTGCCTTGGGTTGGTGGCAGTTGAAGCCCAAACATCTGGAAGGCATCCAGCTGGGGAAGGGCGGAATATGATCTGTCTCCAACATGCAACACTGCAAAGACAACAGAAGGGTACATGTCCAGGGTGCAACTGCACTACTAAAACAAACAATTCCTCTTTATCTTGGACAGTCCCTCTTTCGTTCTCTCATCCCCTCAAACAACTGGACACAAGCACAGATAGCTGCACACGATAGCTGATTAACATCTGAATTCTACTGAATATTAGTCTTCCTTGGATACTGCACTATTCTGGGAGCATCCCATCTCTTCTTCACATGCTTCTTTTGTTTGCCCTCTCTTATGATCTCCAGCTAATCTATATTATTCCATCTATACAGCTCTACTATTCTTCAGCACTTCTCATTCAAAATATGCAAAATTCTGATGAACCTCAGAGTCCGTGCTTAGAACAAAGCATGCATTCTAAGGAAGTTTAAGCAAAACAGAACAAAAGAGAATGCTATTCAGCTAGATAGTGCTAGTTTTGTGCAGAACCAGAAGCATCAATCCTGAGTATAATTGCAATCATCACAGCTTATACTACATGTGAGCTTATTGTACTGTGCAGACTTGTATCTGTCCAATGGTAAGCTTTTATAATGTATTCAATCTGCTGGAAAAATTACAGGAATCAATGTATATTTGTTATTTGTGTAGATTCATATACTATGGAAATAATTTGTGGCTTATGCACATTTTTTTCAGGCCAGGCAAAGACTGACTATGGTCAGTTGGAGTATTATGAGAAGTATTTACCATAAACAGAAGACATATACATATTGATTTGCCTACTCCTAATAAACTTAATTTTTATTATTGTTGCAGTGAACTATATATTAAGGAAAGCATCCCACCAAACCACAGACAAGTATCAAGCTGACTCTAAGCAACCAGTCTTCCCCCAATTCACTTCCTCAGGAAGGCCCACCCAAATTTCCCAATGAGTATGTGGTCCTCTTCCTTAGTGGCAACGATACTCCTTCCAAAACAAGCAGATGTGCCCTACTATTGCGTCACTAGAGCATGGATGCTCATACACATGTGCTGTTATCTTGCAGATACCAGCCGCTTATTGCAGCCGCGAATAGTTCAACATTTCACAGAGGTAGAAACAGATTCAGAGCAGACTATTTTTTCCTGGTTGAATCAGAACCCTTAGTTAGTTCTGGAATGGATCACTTTTGACTCTCATTTCCCCATGGGGTGGCTGCGTGTCCTCTGTAGGAGGGCTGCAAGATGCCCTATATCTGAAGGTGGTTTCTCTTTGATGGGCTGCCCTGGCATTGAGGTTTAAAGACAGGAACCTTTTGCCTGAATGAGAACACGAGCTGCAAATGGAACAGGGAGGCAGATGGCTTACCTGGCCACTCTCTTCCTCAATGCACTGTATTTCTATTTAAATTATAACATTTCTAAGTTCTCACCTATCCATAGTATATATAATAGTTATACCAGTGTGTGTCCTCACTAGTCTTCTTTCTGGGTGATGCTTTTCTGCTTTTTTGTGAGGGGTGGCAATTCATACTGTGTGCTGAACCACAAGTTGCAGGAGCTGTGGGACTTGCAGTCCAGTGCATCTGGAGGGCAGAAGGTTGGGGAATGTTGTCATGAAGGATTGCAATTTTCACCTGGCACAAATCCCTTTTGCCTGGAAGGCTCAACTGCACATTCCTAGATGGGAAAAGACTGGTGATCAGGATTGCGTGCAACCTTTTCAAAGCAGCCATACAGGGCTGCTTATTTGAACTGGGAACTGGCTCTGGGGGAGCAGATGGTACAGATATTTGTCCTCTGATGTTCTTCTGGACACTGCCTCGCTCTGCACAGCTTTGCCATTTGCAGGAATATATGATGCTCCGTGCTGAGGAAAATGGGGTGGGGAAAGGGGTGGCCAGGATTTTAGAACTCAATGAAACTATCCTGCAAGAAAGTCATATATAGGAACCAAAAACCTATTAATGCACAAAAGGCGATCAATGCAAGAATTAAAGAAGATATTTAATGACATACTAGTTGCCATTACAATGAGGTAAATTTTTGTAGGTTATCTTGGTTTTAGTCAGAGAATGTTCCCCTTCTTAATGCTAAAAGAAAAGCATTTACAAATATCAAAACTTTTCACCTCTGCATGTGACCCCCGATGAACAGACTTTACCACAATGGCTTTGTTCTTTTCCTCTATGTCAAATCCATAATCCTCCTCTTCTGGCCAAACCTGGGACAGGTGTGAAAAAAGACACAGAGAAGACAAAAACTTGTAAGCAAATTCACCAGCTCATGAGTCTAGCCTCTAAATCATGCAAGAACTGGTTGTTGTTTCAATATCTCCTCCCTTCTGACCCTCAACGTCCATAGAAAATGAAATATTGCTTATTTCTCTCCACTACTTTATTATCAAAGTAGGAGAGAATATAAATATGAGTATCATGAAAACTAGAGGGCAAAAATGATTTCCTGTCCCACTTCTTTTCCACAATGAACCCAAGGCAACGTATCCATCCATCCATCCATCCATCCATCCATCCATTTAAAGCTTTTATATACCATCTGACTACCACAATCTCGGGATGGTCTACAATAAAAACAGAATAGAATGAAGAACAGCATCCAATAAGTCCAATAAAATAAAACCCACATATAAACCTAATCAACCTTAAAATAATGGGTGGATAAAAAGGTTTTAGCCTGACACTGGAAAAAATACAGAATTGGCAACAGGCAGACCTCTCTGGGGAGCGCATTCCATAGCTGGGGTGCCAATGCTGAGAAGGCCCTTATCCAGGTAGCCACGCCCCTAATATCCTTCAAGAAGGGCTCCCAAAGAAGAACCTCCATGCCAGATCTTAAGGGGTGGGAAGGCACATAGGGATGGAGACACTCCTTCCGATATCCAGATAACTTACACTGCTCCATTGAATGTTCTCCATTTTATACTCAAGACTTGTGAGTTAAGTTAGGACAAGGGTCAGTGACTGGCACAAATGATCACTAGATTTTGCTGATGATGTTCTCACTGACTAACATTTCCAGCAACATGACTGCTTGCTAACTGAGGCTGTACTAGTACAGGAAGAAATACAACACAGAAGTGCTTCTTTTTGCAACTAACATACATTGCACTGCAAAGACAATGAACTGACACACAAATCCAGTCAAATAAGAATAGACTATCAACCAAGCTAGACATGAGAATGCAAAACATGGGCATTATTTCATGTGTTTGCCCTAGAAATAGGAAGGAGGAGAGATCCTACTGTAAGACTTCTTTGTTCAATGCAGTTCACCAACAATGTGTGATGAAATCTTGGTCAACCCACCTGCCTAATATGGGATTGTCAATCAGTGAGCATAGGAACATAGAGAGCTGCCTCGTACTTAGTCAGGATGTGAGTCCCTCTAAACCAGTGTTGTCAGCACTGAGTGGCAGCAGCTTTCCAGAGTGTCAGGCAGGAGTCTTTCCAAACCTGCCAGGAGATGTCAGATGAATCTCCTACATTCTGCAGTCAAAGCAGCTTCTTTACTACTGGCTACAATCTTTCTTTAGTCATGCCCAACATATGGTTGGACCACTAACTCCGGCTTGGTGGGTCACAGAACTTTCCTAGCAAATTCAGAAACACAGATAGACAACTACCACACCAAGCCAAGGTCTCAGAAAGATGTTAGCTCAGCTGGCCTGGCTTTGTTGCTCCCTCTCTCCAATATTCTCCCCCACATCCCTCCATAGGGAGTGCAGAAAAAGTTTTTTCCTTCCTGTTGTTCCCCTCCTGCTTACTAACAGGTAACAGGACACAAAGGATTATGGGAGAACTATATTGCCTATAGTCCCATCCACCCTGAGATAATATTAGCAAATGTGACAGAATGACAGAGAAAAAGGGGGCTGGAGAGAAGGAAAATACCCCCCTCTGCCCCTTTCCCCATGTTTGCTAATGTTCCCACTGAAGTAAAAGAAGACAGTGTTTAGGGTACGCACAGGAACAGACTTCGGGAATCTGCGAAGGGAACAATGATAGCAGACAGTAGCCTAGAAATTTCCTCTTGACACATACTGAAATAAGAGTTGAATGAGAATGTTGGAGCTTGTAAAGTTCTTCTTGGTTTTGAAAATGGATTCAACAAGAGCCCAACATTAATCCCCAAGTCTGGCTAGGAAGAATTGTGCATGAATCTCTAGTCCCAGGAAGCTTGCTTTTACACACTTCCCTACATAACTTATAAGCAAAGCTGCTCCAATATGTGAGGCTACCCTTAGAAATGGCCCAGAAAAGTCTGGTTTCTGAAAACGCGTAAACCAACACATTGCAGGTGCTGGTCTTTAGGTCTTTCTAAACTGAACCCTACCCTGGTCACACCCCTAACCCTAATTTATGGGTAAGCTTCCATTCAAAGGAGGGCAATTTTGAAAAACCCATCCTTGAGTGGATTTTTCTGCGCAGCTCATCTTTTCTGCCCATTCCAAACACATTCCAACCATCTAAAGCATGCCAGGACACCTCGTTCTTCTAACCCTAACCCTACCCTGGTGCATACCCCTAACCCTAGTTTATGGGTAAGCTTCCATTCAAAAGAGGGCAATTTTGAAAAAGTCATCCTTGAGTGGCTTTTTCTGCACAGCTCATCATTTCTGCCCATTCTAAACACATTTGTTGTTGTTGTTATTCGCGAAGTCATGTCCAACCCATCGCGACCCCTGGACTTCCTGTCCTCCACCATCCCCTGGAGTCCACTTAAGCTCACACCAACTGCTTCAGTGACTCCATCTAGCCACCTCATCCTCTGCCGTCCCCTTCTTCTTTTGCCATCTATTGTTCCCAGCATTAGGCTCTTCTCCAGGGAGTCCTTTCTTCTCATTAGGTGGCCAAAGTATTTGAGTTTCATCTTCAGCATCTGGCCTTCTAAAGAGCAGTCAGGGTTGATCTCCTCTAGGACTGACTGGTTTGATCGCCTTGTGGTCCAAGGGACTCGCAGGAGTCTCCTCCAGCACCACAATTCAAAGGCCTCAGACCTTTGCCGCTCAGCCTTCCTTATGGTCCAGCTTTCACAGCCATACATTGCAACTGGGAAAACCCTAGCCTTGACTATACGCACTTTTGTTGGCAGGGTGATGTCTCTGCTTTTTAGTACTCTTCTAGATTTGCCATAGCTTTCCTTCCCAGGAGCAAGCGTGTTTTAATTTCTTGGCTGCAGTCCCTGTCTGCGGTGATCTTGGAGCCCAAGAAAATAAAATCTGTCACTACCTCCATTTCTTCCCCATCTATTTGCCAGGATGTGAGAGGACCGGATGCCATGATCTTAGTTTTCTTAATGCTGAGTTTCAAGCCAACTTTTGTACTCTCCTCCTTCACCCGCATCAAGAGGCTCTTTAGTTCCTCTTCGCTTTCTGCCATGAGAGTGGTATCATCTGCATATCTGAGGTTGTTGATATTTCTCCCTGCAATCTGAATTCCAACTGGTGATTCATCCAGCCCCGCCTTTCCCATGACATGCTCTGCATTTAAGTTAAATAGGCAGGGCAACAGTATACAGCCTTGCCAAACTTCCTTTCTCAATTTTGAATGAATCAGCGATTCTGTGTCCAGTTCTCACTGTTGCTTCTTGACCTGCCTATAGGTTTCTCAAGAGACAAATAAGATGGTCTGGTATTCCCATCTCTTTAAGAACTTGCCACAATTTGTTGTGATCCACACAATCCAAGGCTTTAGCATAGTTAATGAAGCAGATGTTTTTCTGGAACTCCCTAGCTTTCTCCATCATCCAGCGTATGTTGGCAATTTGATCTCTAGTTCCTCTCCCTCTTCGAAATCCTGCCTGTACTTCTGGTAGTTTGCGGTCCACATACTGCTGGAGTCTAGCTTGTAGGATTTTGAGCATGACTTTGCTAGCATGTGAAATGAGTGCAATGGTGCGGTAGTTTGAACATTTTTTGGCATTGCCCTTCTTTGGGATCGGAATGTCAACTGACCTTTTCCAATCCTGTGGCCACTGTTGAGTTTTCCAAATTTCACATTCCAATCATCAAAAGCATGCCAGTGCACCTGGTTTTTGTAACTTCAACCCTTCCCTGGTGCACACCCCTAACTCTAATTTATGGGTAAGCTTCCATTCAAAAAAGGGTGACTTTGAAAAAGCCATCCTTGAGTAGCTTTTTCTGCACACCTTGTCATTTCTGCCCAATCTACACACAAAATCTTTTGTCAAAATCTTGCCAGGACATCATATTTTTCTAACTGTGCCTCTCCCCAACCCTAATATAGTGGTAAAATCCCATTTTCTAGCCCAAGCTAATGATGGTGAACCTTTTAGAGACCGAGTGCCCAAACTGCAACCCAAATCCCAGTTATTTATCAGAAAGTCCCAACACTGCAATAAATCCTGTAAACTGAGGGTTTAGTTTAGAAAACACACACACACACACACACACACACACACACACACACACACACATATATATATATATATATGTCCTTGGCAGTGCACTGACCGGCCATGCAAAAACTCAGACTAGGCGCGGATAATGTGTCACCACTTGTGACATCATAGCGTGGCACCACTACTCCTTTCTGAGCATGCCCATGTCCCCTGTGTATGCTTTTATCTGATGCTCGGCTGCTGGGGTGATGCTTGGTCGACTTGGCTTGCGTCCCAACAGAGATGGCTCTGCATGCCCACTGTGGCACGCATGCCATAGGTTCAACAGCACTGCTTTATTACAGTATCTCATTGCTTTTAAATTGCATTTTTACCATGTTGTGAGCTGTCTGGTGGGTTTGGTTGAACCATGTAGTAGATTGTGATTTTAAGTTTTTTTGTATACCACTTTGGGAGAGTTAACCCTAAAAGTCAGATTATAAATCCCAATACTGCAATAAATAAATACACCAAAAAGAAAATGAAAATTGGCCAAAGTCAGATCAAGACTAATCTGTCAGGAAATAAAAGCACAAGGGGAAAAAAAAACCTTCCTGATCATCTACTATAAATTTTAAATAGTTGGGCACTGCAGAGACACTCAGTTGTTATATACTTTTTGGTCAATGCTATTAACACATCAATTATATTTTGTTGCATTTGCCCATGATGGCACAAGATTAAGGAAAGCTGCCTTCCTTACATAAATTGAAGTGTAGAGAAGAAGACAGTCCCTGACCTCTGGCAAAAGAAACAATATTCAAAAGACTAAGGAGTTCAGGGGAGACACAACCACCATCACCA